ACAGACTCTTTCGAGGTGAAGACCGGTGTCAGTCAAGGTTGCTTACTCTCACCCTTTCTCTTTCTCCTTCTGGTGATCAACTGGATTATGAAGACGTCAATATCTGGAGGGAAGCACGGTATACAGTGGACAGCTAGGACGCAGCTGGACGATCTGGACTTCGCGGAAGACCTGGCTCTTCTATCGCACACGCAACAACAAATGCAAGAGAAGACGACCAATGTAGCAGCAGCCTCTGCAGCAGTAGGTCTCAACATACATAAAGGAAAAAGCGAAATTCTCCGATACAACACAACATGCACCAACCAAATCACTCTTGATGGAGATGCCTTGGAGGATGTTAACACCTTTACATATCTGGGCAGCATCATCGACAACCAAGGTGGATCCGATGCAGATGTGAGGGTTCGGATCGGCAAAGCAAGTGCTGCATTTCTACAGTTGAAAAATATCTGGAACTCCAAACAACTTTCAACCAAAACCAAAATCAGGATTTTCAATACAAATGTCAAGACAGTTCTATTGTATGGAGGGGAAACTTGGAGAACTACGAAAGCCATCATCCATAAGATACAAGTGTTTATTAACAGTTGTCTACGCAAAATACTTCGAATTCGTTGGCCAGACACTATCAGTGACAACTTACTTTGGCAGGGAACAGACGAGATTCCAGTGGAGGAGGAAATCAGGAAAAGCGGTGGAAGTGGATAGGACACACACTGCGGAAAGCACCTAACTGCGCCACGAGACAAGCCCTCACATGGAACCCTCAAGGCAAAAGGAAAAGAGGAAGGCCAAGGAATACATTACGCCGAGAAATAGAGAATGATATGAGAGGAATGAACAAACATCGGACAGAACTGGAGAGGGAACTCCGGAACGGAGTTGGTTGGAGAAAATTGGTGGGCGGCCCACGCTCTATTGTGGGCGTAAATAACTAAGTGAGTAAATTATTGTTAGTTTTGACATTTCAGCTTTCGCTGACTACCACCTACAGTTAAGATTTAGGGGATTATTAGAAAAATCTACAATAAATGTTCCATTAAACATGAGATTACTTTCATTATTAGGCTTAGTTTCATTTCATCGACAAAGGGGCAGGTTTGTTTATGTCACTCAGTTTGTTGAACCAAACAACTTGTATTTTTTAAAAGTATTTTGCGATGTCGTTCACTAACATCATAGTATTCATTTTATGGATATTCACCTTTTATTTTGAATTGTGCATTTGTCATGGTATTCAAATAGCCTTATCGATAAACTTTCTTCTAGATATCTTAGTTCTAACCGTTGCAACGGAGAAAAACGATGCTTTACATAGGTTTCTAAGGTCCAGTAGCCTGAACGGATTTGAAGTGAAGGTTAGTTAATTTCAGGTACGAATATGGTAAATAATAAAGGTACTTGGGGAAGGAATCCATTGGAAAGGTGGATATGTTGCAAAGTCAACTGGCGGTGGGCAGAAAGTCAATTTATTGAAAGAAGAGCTAGTTAATGGTGATTACAAACCGGACCAAATCATTTTGTTTGTTGACAGGTTAGTGCAGAAGCATTATTTTTCATATTGAATATTTTGGTGTGTTGATGAATTTAAATTGCCTTTCTAGATAAAATATCGACATTCTCGTAGTTTTTATGTATCCTATTTTATTCATATTTAATTGATTTTTCCAGAGAACGCGTCGAAAATTAGTTAAATAACAGTATTACTTTAGTCCTAATTTAGCCGGATGTATCTATAATTACTTTAAATGATCTCTTTTTAAGCTGGTAAGAGTAAGCTAATGAAAATGTTTGTGATGGTCGTTTACCTATGGCGTTAGTGTTTGTATTCGTAATTTTCGTTTTTAAAGTGTAACGTTTTTACTTGTCGTTTAGATGTGATAACTACAAGTTTTAATAAACTTGTCAGTTCTTAACCCAGCCTCTGATACTAAAATCTTATTACTGTTAAATTAGTTATTCAGTGGATCACATAACCTTCAAAATTCAGCAGGTTAAAAATCTTATGATTGTAGGAACTCATAAAATTCCGTAATCGTGTTTCCTACAATGCTACTAAAATGAACTATTAGGAGAAAATGGCTTTTTAATGTTTGAGGCTAACTAGTGACTTTACAACTGACATCAGACGGTGACAAAATTAGTCTTCCAAAATCAATAAAACAGAAGATAAGTAACAGGAAAGTCCGTGAAAGCTCAAAGAGATTCGAAATTAGTAGATGGATAGAAGTCAGATGTTTCCAATAAACATAAAGCAACAACTAACAAGTTTCTGATTCGGTACAACTTATTTTCATGTTATTACTCTTTGTAGGTGTCATCAGTTTAAGCGTTTTGGAATCTTATCTAAATTAATCAAGCCATAAAAGTAGAAAGATAGGCCAAATAAATCATATAGAATGGAGAAAATCTAGAAGTATTACAAAGTAACATAAGTTTTTCCATCACATATTCAGTTGGCTGTCTGAGTTCCTGTTTTACTGAAAAATTCTGTTACATAGTCGGTATCACTCGGATCCCTGTTAATTATCTGGATCACGTTTTATAATCATGACTTTTTGACCGCTACGGAAGAATTATTGGATAATAAGTGATAGGCTTAACCTCGATGGACAATCTATACCTCACTTTGCAAAAATCCTAGTAAGAAAGAACGCTGATTGCAAGTAGACATTCCATACAGATGTTTGTTTGTGGAGCATGAATGCTAATTTTTCGTAATAGAATATTGGTTTGTCACTAATTTGGCTTTGGAAAAAATTTGAGAACGGAAGTTATTCAAGATGCTCATGCACATTTTAAACTGAAAAACAATTAATTTAAAGTAGTTTGACCACAAACTTGAATACTCTGCACCTTTTTGTTTCTTCTGTGGAAGGTATATCTCTTCTGTCACATAGTACTGGTAAATACCTTCAGTTCCTACTTTGAAGTAAATTTAAAAACAATGCATTCCAGGAAATTCTTTCAACACTTTATTCGCGATAATAGCAAACGTTTTGAGAACTTCAGAAATCGAAACCCCCTTAATATGTTCAACAACAATGTGTTCTCATCCTTAATCTAGCTTGGTAGTGTTTATTTATTATCCAGCTTGTTTGTAGCGTAACTGTTGAGAATTATGGCTATGACCCTGACTGACAATTCTAGATAGTCTCTCATTGTTGGAGTGTTGTCTTATGCAATCTCCATCCAATAATTTGCTCACCGATCATGCCTTCTAGGCATGTTAATTACTCCATCTCCTCGAATGCCTCTTCAGGGAGTGTATTTTGATCGACACTCACTTTGCCATCCTTTGAGTTTTCTCTATTTGTTTTGAATAGTGAAGTGGAGCTTACTGCTGTAGAAGTAGCCGCTATACATCAATGAATTCCTTTTAACTGACTTGTTAGCAGTAGTCCGCGGTGTTTGAGTCTTGTCTGAGCATGCGTAATGTTCACGAAAAGAAATTTTGTCAGGGACTTGAGGAGTTAGCAATAGTAAAGATCAGAAAAAATATTTCCGCCAAGATGATTCAGTGGTATTACGTTCAATTTTGTAGTGAGTTCAACAAAACATAAACACTCAACGTCTAAAGTTTGAAATTCCGTAAACCAATAAATACTTAATAATCTGAACCAGTTAAGTAAACAAACTATCATATGACTTTCATTAATTTTCACCACCAATAATCAGGTATACGAAATATATTAAACAATTTACTTTCTCTTTACACAGTTATGATGTTGTTTTCATGCAAAATGTGACCAAATTAATCGAAGAATATGAAAAGTTTGAATCAAAAGTAATATTTTCTGCAGAGGAATTTTGTTGGCCACAACCAAGCTTAAAGGTAAATTAGTCAGCACAGCCACTCAGTTATATTGATTCTTTAACAAAAATTGTGGTGATGTTGTAATTGTCTTCAAATTTGATGGCCACTTTGTTCTTACAAATATAATTAATGTAAACGCATCTTAAAATATAACACTACTATTAATTCATATATTTGTTAACTAAATCGCGTGTACTAGCTTGGTATTTTCAAAGTTTTTATTCATATATGAAGTTTTAATGAAACTTATATGTGTAATATGTTGAACCAGTTTTTAGTCTTTAGTTAGATCTAGGTTTTTGCATATATCCGATATGTCATTCTTGATTCTGTGCATTTCTACACATAATTGAAATTACTACTACATTTTTATCATAGTTAAATGTCTATGAGATATGGTGCCTTTTATATTATAATAGTAAATATTATTATGAGCATACTATGATTTTAAAAAATGTTAAATCGTTGTAGTGAAATCAATAAACCATAATCTGACATAATGCGCATCAGTCTGATCTGTTGTTATGTCGTTCAAAGATCTTTAAGTTACATTTTCACTAATGTTAATTTACAAAGTTATAAGGTTTGTTTATTTTCATTGATAATTTCCACATCTTATTCTTGTTGTTGTTCTTCTTCTTATAGAACTTATATCCTGAAGTAAATGCCGGTGAAAAACGTTATTTGAATTCGGGTGGATTTATTGGACCAGCAGTGAATTTAATGAAGATAATCAATCATGCACCAATTAAAGATGATGATGATGATCAATTGTATTATACAAATATATTTTTAGATCCAAAGCTACGAGTAAGTTTTATGTTTTGTGATTATTGAATGATTAAAAATGAAATAAAATAAAATGAATTATTTTTATGATAATCATGAAATTTACACATTTGAAATGATGAATCGATCAATGTTAGACAACCATTAGTAATCTGGAAGCACTGGATGGCCGTTTCGTCCTACTATGGTACTAATTAGCAGTGCGTATCCACGACTCCTGCAACTCAAAGGATTCGAACCCAGGACCTTCGGTCTTGCGCGTGAACGCCCAAACCTCTGGAATGCTTTCTGCAATTTATGAATATGAACTAATCAATAAGCAATGATTGTTTAAACAAATATCTATGATAAGTTTTACTAAATATAATCATTTGTTTTTATAATAAAAACAATGTAAATTAATGTTTATCATGCAGAAATTTTAATTAAACTAGACAAAACAGCTGATTGATAGGTAAAATCAAATCAGTTCAGTGAATTTCATAGGTATTGGTTAAACTTTTGGTCCGCTTGTTTATCTTTAATATTCAGAAGAGAACTGTCTCAAGTTGAGCCATAATAGAGGTTTATGTTAAAATGCACTCCATAATTTTATAAATGACTGTTGGAGACGTTAGATCCCCAGAACTCCCTTGATAAAGGTTCTCATTTTGGATTTTATGTTTTGGAGCATGGGCTGATCATTTGACAATGAGATTACATTTCCTACCCGAAAATCCTTGACTGTTATTTATTGATATATTATTTGAGTGCGCTATTTTTGTGGCTCTCTCAAGGACGTTCCTATGATGTATAAATGAAATAGATTTGTGTGCTTGTGAACCTGATATTTTCTGGGTGCTTGTAGAATACACTTTGTACACCATATCAAGACTTTACTGTATCGTTAACAGGGCCGGGGACAATCAAATCAGAATTGCCTATGGTGTGACTGCATCATTTGTCTTCACTCTAGTTTACCGAGTAAGATGAACTCGTAATAGTTTCAAGCATATCAGTTGACGAGCATATCATTAACCATAAGATTTTCTAGATTAATTCAAAGCATTATTTACATAGAATAAAAAGTGGATGACTTTCATTCGAATCATAATGAACATTTATCGTGTTTTTTTTTGTGAAATCATACATAGAATGACAAAAATTAAAAAAAGTGAAGTGATCAATGAATTGATTTTGAGATTCAGAGTATTTTATAGACAACTATGAATGATTGGTAGATATGTTGAAATTTTTTACACAAAGACTCATTGCAACTACTCACTCATATTTGTCTCAATTTTCTTTTTGTATACTTGAGTTCAATAGAAATGTGTAAAACAGGGAACTAAATATAATTTCTTGAAATATTTATATATCAAGGACAAGATATTTTCCTATTTAACAAAAAAAATCGCATACATCACATTTATTTTTCTTCTATGTACAAAATAAACAATATACTAGTGGAAAAAATAAAAATAAATAAACAATTACATTATCAGTTCATTATTTCTATATATTTTGTTATAAAACAATCATATTATTTAAGTAATAATGAACAACATAATTTAATTAATTAATAATTTTTCTCATAGAATAAGGAAGTATAGAATTTTCAGTAAGTTGGTGTTCTGTTTGCTTGTTAGAAGTTTATGCATATATATATATATATACATATATATATATATATATATATATATATATATATATATATATATATGTATATATGGTGGTGTTTCGTTCTCTGAGCTGGATATATATATATATATATATATACAAATCGATAACCTTATTAGTTTACTTACTTGTCACTGTAAACATACACATTTAGCTTTTAAAATCATTCAAAATTAATCTTTCTGACGCTTTAGCATAATAATTTACGTTTTGAATTGTGTTATATTCATAACAGTAATTCTAATAGATTGTTGGAGTATATTTTATTCATTTTCATCAAAAAAGAAAGAGGTTGATATTATTTAATCAAAGCGGTAGAATACTGGCAGTTACCTGATTATCAAAAAAAATAACTAAATACTGTATGTATATATATATGTATATATATGACTATGAACTTAATAACTATTCTCTGTATAATTAAGTAAGCTCAATAAATCGATTAAAAAAAAATTACGATATTTTCTTGTCATGAAGATGAACAACATTGTCTGAAATTGTAACAACAATTGATACCGAATTCACTTGACACACAAAGAGGAACGTGAAATAATGATGATTAGATGGATTGATCTGTAAATTCATTCATTTTTAAACATTTGTCTAGGCATATATATTTTCTTTTAGTTATTACTTTAATTGTTTGAGGTGATTAGGTTAACTTATAAACGACGATTAGTAGAAATTTTAATTTTTTCTTTATTTACTCTAGAAACTGTATGATATAGAACTTGACAAAACTTCAAGAATTTTTCAAAATCTTAATGGAGCATTCAGTGAGTTGGAGAATTTGTTCTTTGCTACTGTTATTTAATATGAATATAATATCATATTATTGTTATTTATGTGACTTATAATCGACTAGCAGGTGGAAAATTTCCAAACTGTATGATCGACTACAAGTAATCGGTATAACTTTTATCAATTGAAAATAAACGAAAATGTAGTGGTCTTAATTGAGCATATATGTATAAAATGATACTAAGAGGTTTGTGCATAATTTTTTTTAGGAATTTAGAGTGATGACTTGCTATATTTATAGATACGTAAGAACAAAAAAGTTGCTTATTGAGTTTCACTACAAAATATAGTTCTTTCAAATCACATATACTAAAAGACACGAAGATATTTTCTAATATACATTTCAGTTGAAGATCTCAAAAATTTCAAAGTAAACCATCAAATTATATTGTAGTTGGTAATGATTAGATAAAATTATATTTGATCCTGTGTTTATATTGACTAGTTATGTAACATAAAGCACAGGGAAAGATAAATATTTATCTCTAATATCAAACTGTTCAGACTGTATTTTAATCATGTCAGCGATGCAACCAGTATCACAGTTCCAATGGATGACAGTTTATTGCAAGTTAATTAAAGTTAGAAATGTAAACCATCAGAATTTTAGTTTAGTAGTTTGACACTTGAAAGTTAGCGACGAAGTCAAAAGGTTGGGATCCCGTCCTCACAGAAGTTTCAAAATCATACTACTGTGGTGTTCAGTAGTGAAACGAACCATCAAGTATTTTCAAGTCTTCTTACGTTTTCTAAATGATGTAAATTAATGAGGTAAACTACACATTCCAAAATTTTCAACTGCCTCTTATGCTATTCACTGGTTCATATTGAAATATTGTTGTTTTCTCTGATTTATACAAATATTTGATTTTTACCATTGAATTTCAACTTTTAATTTGAATTTCAATTGAGTCTAAATAAATATTATCTGTCTGCTTTTCGCATATCAGAATCTGGTGAATTAATGATTGTTGAACAGTTTTAATCTAAACAGACACGTCACTATAAACTTTTAGCTGGACGAAATTCACCAATGGTTAGAGACCTCCAACGACATGGCTCAAAATCGTTTGCATCCATTTGTTGTGCCCTCTCAAATCCTAATCTTCTGGAATCGTCAGCACCTCTACCTTTGTCTTTCTAACCTTATCTCACTGAATTATACTTCTTGAATAATATCTTTAAACCCTAGTCTTCTTCATTACCATTAATACCTCTACTAGCTTTATCACTATGAGATTTGATTTGACATTTGCGTCTCTGTGCTAATAATGTGGTATGGCAACATGAACTTATGTACATACGTACGAAGTTCTATGTTGCAAATGACTAGCTGACTGACTAAACTTTTAGCTAAGAGTACGTAACTTCGTCAAAATCATTCTCCCAACCTAGAGGTCTTCTTTACTGTCTCTTTTGTATGTTATAACATATATCACACAATTCATAATCGCTAATTATACAATTAAAAGTAAAGTTCAGTGTTACAATTGTTAAAAGAACTTATGATCGTGAATAATAATTTAGGTGAATCATATAGATTGTTGTGAAGCACAATCCTTTCATCATTGATAACCAATCAATAAAAGAGCAAGTCTTCGTTGGTGTTATATAACATGGATATTGTTAATTATAGCTAGTTAAGTATTGATTACTATTATTGAAGGTTGAGTTGAATTGATAGATTAAAACAATTTTGACAATAAAAAAAAAATCCAAATAGTAGAAATTTGTAGGAAATTCAAAATTCAAAGAGACTTCCTTGGACATTTTCTGACATGGTTAATTCAAAGAGAGTAATATATTGATTCACAGGAAATTAGAGAATTTTCAACCCTAATATTCAAAATATTCAAGGAATTATATTCGACTAAAGTCCAATATTCTAAATATGGCGAATATGCTAATATGTACTTAAAATTATATATATATATTTCTGTAAATTTTATTGAACTGATAAGCAAAAAATAAAACTTGGTTGTTTTGTATTGTTTGAGCTAAGTAAATGTCTGTCTGTACATGGAGTAGAGACTGATGATGTTGTCCAAAACAACGACGACTCACAGTTAAACCATCTAGTCTAGACAGACATTACACACCAAAAGAAAACAACAACATTCATCTGAATTACAAATAATCTTCATCATTTCAAATACGTTTTCTATTTCTAGATGATGTGGAATTACATTTCAATGATGAAACAGGATATCTATTTAATAAAATATTTTCTACAACTCCAATTATAGCTCATGGTAATGGACCGATAAAGGTAAGTTGAGAAAAAAGCAGAATTTGTTCACTTAGAATTCTAGATTTTTCAGTTTGTTCATTTATAAATTTTATTCATGACTGTTGTTGTATCTGATAGAGTTTTGGTATAACTATGTACTTCACAAACAGATTCTTGATAATATTTTATTTGGACATTTCTGACATTCTTAGATAGTGTTGTATCAGTCTCGAACGCATCCAGACTTTTTTGGTCTGGTTTCTTGTTGAAAACTCATTAGAATGTTCAGTGCATTATTTACAAACTTATAAATTATTAACTTGTAAGCATATACTATTTTTATAATACATATATCTTTCGGACTATATTATTTTTGGGCTATCTTAACTCAAACAATAATTTATACATCCATTTGACTGACGAATCGATCCTTGCAGTACACCACACGACTATTGATCATTATCTTATTCTATCCACATATGATTCCTAGTCTATACATACGATGGAGTACATGTATGTGGATGAAATACATGTTTCTTCAAAGCATTTTGTACCTGACTTCTAATATATGCGTCGTTAAATAAATCTAGTTACATAACACGATAAGTTTAAGTGAATATTCTGAATTGTAGGGCATTTAAATTCATTCTAATCAGAACTGACGAGGATGCTAGACCGAGGAGCACTTTTTTTTCGAATTAAACTTTTATTAAACTGATGTATATGTACTATGCCTACTGTATGGGCAGTTAAAACTTAGTTTCAAATGTAAAGGTTTTATCTGTAGGTTAACTAGTTACGAAATGTACTACCTTAACGAAATACATATGGTCACAAAAACCTATGAAGTTAGAATATCTTATGGGTTTACAACAAAAAAATAATAAACAAATATGTTCACATAGTTCACTTTTGCTAATCTCAGCGATAAACTTTAGAATATCAAGCTTCATTCTGTCAGTAAAATCTCCACTAAGATTATTGTACTAATTATCCTGTTTCATGCAAAACAATTAGGTCATAATTAAGTATTCATCTAATGTGAATTTCAAAAAAGTATCCCTTATTACCGATGAATAATAAAAAGCATAGATTATTCATTCTCATAGTTTGAATGAATAAGAAATTCTTCAAAATTACCATTTACATAAAATAATTTATTTTTATTTTTATTCATAAGTAGGTGTAATTTTCAGTTGATGACCTTAAAACTTTCAAAATAAAAACTAAGAATAAATAGTTTACGATAATTTCTATCTTTTACATTATTTATTGATTTGCACAATCCAGGTCTGATTTGCTGCATATATTTTGTGTATAGTTTTGTGTAGCAGAAAAACCAGTCTGTAAGCTAAATGAAGAGGCTAACTATAAAGTAGGCAAGATGCGTGGGAGGAAGGACAGTAGATTGGTCAACATTTGCTTTGTTTTAGGCAATATCTTTTGGTTATATCGTGCATTGTAACGCTAACAACATGTCGATTGATTAGAAAATAGGATATTCTTTTCTGGGCTTTTTTTATGATAGATAGTTGTTATATGCCAAACCCATTGAAAATGAAAGGTTAATTTTATGAAATGTACAGTCTCTCTCTCTCTCTGTACATAGCGTTGGTCAGACCGATGCTAATTTTATACTTAATGGGATAATCCGTGACTCATACCAGTGTTTGTAGGTCATAGTGTTAAGAGTTAGTGGTTACGTAATTGATAGAATTTCATAGTAGTTTATTTGATCATACAACATCACTTATCATTTGTTGAGATACAAAATAGTTTTTAAATGTTTACAATTAACTTACGTGTTGTATTCGCAATTCACCAGTATATTTGTAATTACAAAGATAAATGACCATTTTCTAGATTTATAGTTAAATCAGCACTCTAATGCTTAGTTCTAATTAATTATTCACATTTCTAAAGGTTGAATTTAATTCACTATCAAATTACCTTGCATATTCTTGGAGTCCTACACAAAACTGTCGACATTGTGATGAAGATAATATTGAAATTCAGGATATTTCAGTAAGTTGGTGGTTGGTTGATAACAGTATATCTTTGACAATATTATCCCTTCGAATTAGTTCTTATGGCAAACACGCTAACGGTTGTTACAATTTTTAGGCAATATTTTTGTTATATAATGGATCAACTTTTATGGCCATACAAATTAATGACATTAAATTCTTGATAAACCATTAAAGAATTCATCAACTTATGAAAATTCCTATTGAATACATCGTTTATCCATTGATTTTAATATTTGTGCCAGGTGCGCACTTACGAAGTTTCTCCAGTAAACTCACGAACTAAGGTCATGTATATATATATATATATATATATATATATATATATATATATATATATATATATATATATTGTGTGTTAAATAAACCATATACTATTCAGTGAATATTACGAGATTTTTTCGAATTTATTTTCGAGCATACGTATGATATAGATAATTTTATTGCTAGCAATAAATTACAATGATGGCAAAGATTGTCAAAATGTAAAGCGAAGTCATCTGATTTCTCACATATTTCGTCCATACTTTACTACCAGTTGACAATAATAAACTCCGATAATTTTAATTAATTGATAATATTTCAGTTTTATGATTTATTCTACATCACAGATAAAATTAAGTATTTTTATGCTAATTTGACCGTCAAAATAGATTTTTCCATTTTAGTTTTTTAGAATAACTTCATTCTATAAAACTAGATTTTAGAAAATACATGTGCAGATAAAGTAGAATTAGTATAATATGAATAATGCAGTTACATAAACCATTAGAACTGTTTAATCGTAACAAAAAATAATAAAGAAAGTTAAATATTTCAAGTTATTCATAGTAATCACAAGAAGCTTAGTAGAAGCAACACTAAGGATGCTGAAAAATAGGTGGGTTATGCGATAAGACCTGGATAAAGGAAAATTCTGTTGAGTCAAGTACTGATTAGTTTTGTATAAACAGATCAATTTGAAGTGATAAATATCTTACAAGCTAGCAGTTTTCTTATCATCAGTTGCTTCCATTCTTCTCAGTGACAGAATCAACAACAACCTGAAATTACATACTGTGAAAATATGCGTCGTTTTAACACATATATCTAGAGAAGTTCATTGACAAGCCATTTAACTTATTATTGGAAAGTATCTAGAATAAGGTACATTTAGTAACCTACCTACCTCATTTACTCGTAAATTGGTACTCATCCAGTAAGTATGATCGAATGAACCTATAGTCAAATAATATTACTTGATTTTATGTGGAAAACTTGTTTTAAGCAGAACTCTATTTCATTTACATTAAAAAATATATGTTTAATTATCACAGATTATATCTAAAATATACCGATTGAACATGTCATTGAAGTAAAAACTACTTATTTAAATTTATGGCAAACTGTTTTAAAGAATTTTTGTTGGTCTATTCAGATTACCCATATGACCTAATAATCACTGAAATTTTAGATTATTTTGCAACTGTTAGATGAAACGAAGCGATGCATTAAACTACCTACCTTTTTGAATTTTTATATAGATAAATGTCTTGATTTTTTATTTCACAAAAAATAAACAACAATAGGACTACCCACTAGTTGTTATGGGAATTTTCATTGAACAAGGAACACCATTCATAGAAAGGTTCTTTGAACGAATAGCAGCTTTGTCTTACCCAAAGTCCAGGATTCATGTAGTTGGTCATTTGGCAGTAAGTTAAATCTTAATCAAATGTATGTCTCTCATATTTTGATCCATGTCTCATTTTCTACAAATTTACGATACATTTTCTCAATATTTTATATTGTATATATTTTTCACCAGCAAAATCATTTGAAGTGCTTCGTTACATTAAAACTAAATCACAATGTGATTGTCTTGTTTCTAAGTTAACGTACATGAGACACTTATAATGCTCAGTCCATTGCTGTTAGAGATGCAAATATAACTTATTTCATGATTCTTTTGAACTCCTACTTAACTTGAGATATGAAGAGCAATGACACTGCAGCCTAATACACGGTTTTAAAAAGCAACATACGTTTGATTTGAAAAACAGATGTCGACAAAAATGATTATATTGGACAAAATTTACTGACCAGATGATATATTTAAATGAACATTATGCTCAATTGAACAACCATATTTTGAAATCAGAAGTATTTCGATTCAATAGCTATGCCCAGATATTCTTTTGATAATAACTGATTACAGATATCGGGAATTAAGGTACTAAAAGTAATTTATTGACAGAGTTAGTATAAGTTCGGTTGCTAAAATAAAAACCACCGTGTAACGTGGATTGTATTAACGTCTTAAAAAGAACTTTAAAACTAAATGGGTTAGTGTGGCAGTGTACAAAGACAGGAACAACGATATTTTACAGATAAGCCTAAAGTCCGAGTGACTGAAACAAACTAACTAAACTGATTGACGATTTAGTTCTGCAAATCAATCTACGCTTGAATTACTCATACTTTCTTGGTAGGAGGACAGTAAATTCCAATCTCCAATAGCAGAGTCATTCAACCGAACTTTTGGACACCAATATTTTTCAGTCAGTTGGCTTGAAGAAAATCTAGATGAGGAAAATGCGAAAAGGAAAGTATTGTGAGTTTTTCATTTACTTGTGTGACTTCATGGTATTTTGCTTTCAGTGGATATTGTTTGGCGATTGAAGATTGTAAATATGTATTTGTAGTGGACAGTATTGCTCAACTAGAAAATCCAGAGACTCTGAATCATTTGGTTAAAATGAACCGTTCAATAATTGCGCCTTTGTTAGCTATAAGAGGAAAAGCTTGGTCGAACTTCTGGGGAGCTTTAAGTGATGATGGATTTTACGCTAGATCTGATGACTACATGGATATAATAAGCTACAATAAAATGTAAGTCTAAAAGGGTTACAAGGCATTTCCGAATCAACTTCCATGAGACATTAACACTTTCGATTTTCAGAGGGATTTGGAACGTACCCCTGGTTAGAAGTGCATATTTAATATCGCGATGGGCAGTACGTAAAATGATCGATGTCAATAACACCGAGATGAACTTTGCACTCGAGGCAAGGAATAAGGTAAGCCCTATATTGCATTATTTAAATAATTGGTTTTTAAGTATCAACTGACCATTTCAAGGTTAGTGATATACTTCCGCTAAGTGCATGCAAATCACATTTGCAAACATTGATATTTTATAAAGTGTGTTCTGCGGCAGCGCTAGTTGGACAATTAGTGTAGAGAAAATTTGTAGCTCAGGTGGATGATTATGCTGGAACTTCGTTCTCTAAGCTAAATGTCTTGATTATGAAGCCTTCATTGTTCTTCTGAACAGCATCAGTACAAACGTCTACATGAAGTAAATGTAATATCATACAGGATTTTACCACATTTAGTGTTCATGTAAAGACATAAACAGCTGAAAATACAGAAAACAAGAAGTCTATTGTAACTCTAATAACTAAAGAAAATTCGCGAGACAAGTGTATCATAGGAAAAATCCCCTACAGATGTTTTTCAGCGTGCCTATCTCGACAAATGATTTAATGAACTCTTTCCCAGTTAATTAAGTAGTGTAATTAACTTTGATACAGCCTTCGTACAGCAATGAAAATCCTAGAATCGAAACGTTGAAAACTAATCTAGAAAGATCAAAATCATACCATTTTCTAGAAAGTCACCGATAGTTAGAGACCTTGAACGACATGGCTCAGAATCGTTTGTAGTGGCGCAGGTGCTTCCATTCTTTGTGTCCTCTCTAATTCTAACCTTCTGAATTCCTCATAATCTCTATCTTTCTCCTTCTAAATTTATCTTACTGAATTATACTTCTCGAATCATATCTTCGCTCCTTAGTCTTCTCCATTACTGCAAATACTTCTACTATTGCTATCACTGTTGGATTTGAACTGACAGTTGCGTCTCTGTGCTGATGTGGTATGGCAACCTGAACTGATGTACTTACGTACGAAGTTCTGAGTTGTATTCGTTTGTCTGTACGTCCGTACATCAGTTCAAGTTGCATACCACATTAGCACAGAAACACAACTGTCGATCCAAAACCTATAGTGGTAGGTGTGTTAAAAGTATTAGCCATAATAGAGACCAAGGTTCGAAGATATTATTGAAGTACAATTCAGTGAAATTGATTTGAGAAGAGAAAGATGAAGGTCATGAGGAGTTTATATTAGGATTTAGAATATAAAGAATGGATGTACCTGCGCAATTGCAAGCGACCGAGTTATTTCATGCTAAGGTCCTAACTGCTGATTATAATGGTCTCCCGGGACCCAACCAAGTAGACAGCACATAATAATATGGCTCAGTCCAGTTGTTGAAAACCCATTTGGTGGGCCCTAGATTTCTTCTGGCCTACTCCTTAACAAGACAGCAAAGCCTGTCGAGGTGGTTGTGCATACGTAACAAATGCCCCAACCAACTCAACTAATAGTTACTACTTTATCAACTGTTTTAGCATCCTGACCTATTACCCTTTTCCTAAGACCATGATTACTTTGAAGACACTGAAGATCAAACACCAGTAACCTAGGAATATCTTCTGCTCTTACTGACCATGTTTCACACCCATATAGTGGGACTGAGAAAACTGCTGCGCAGCAGGCCTGTCCCTTAGTTAACAGGCGGATATCTCGCCTACACCACAAGTTGGGAAAAGCCAGTTGCGCTTTCAGTATCCGTACCAAGATTTCGTCACACACCAGGCCATCAACACTGACGAGACTTGCAGGGTATGTGAGGCAATCAACACGCTCAACTACTTCACTCCCTATCACTAGTCCAGGTACCAATGCAAGCTAATCCTATATCATAATTCTCCATTTCGAGGGGAAGAACTGCATCTCGAATCGTTGCTTAAGGTTGTTAGAAGACTGTCTCATCAGCATCTTTACCAAATAGAACTGTCACCGGCATATTCTAAGTTAACAAGTGAATCGATTTCTATGACAGTCCGCCATAAGCTCTCACTCGACCGTTAGTGTCGAGTAGAGCCTGTATAAGTCTAATTTGCTTTTTGGCACTTCTTCAAATGACAGACATTGCCACAAGAGCTTATGATCAACTGAGTGAAATGCCGCCTTAGGGTCGAGAGATACAACCTTTTTCGGACGCCTGGATTTTTCTAGTCTAAGAGTTGAAGTTTGGACATTTCGTACACACATCCACGTTCAGGTCTGAAATCACCATGATTTGCCCGTGTGTTCTTCATGAGCTCAGATAAGTGTTAAAGCTAATATTTTAGACAATTATTCAAGCTGATTCCCCCATTAGTCACAAGAGGGATTATTCCATCAGAACATGGGGATCTCCCTCGCTTTAGATTGCCGATAGTCTTTCCACATTAAGAATTGAAGGACTTACATCAGTTTGCCCCTTTGGTTATGTGATGGTGGATATTTGAGGTGTAGCTGAAGGATATTTTATCTGTTCCTATGCTTACTGTCCATCGGTTTCATCTGGATTGGGTAACAGTTCTCTCTTTCCGAAGTAGTTTCAGTGACAACCGGATGTCCAATAACCATTTCCTTAATAAGTCGTGACTGTCGCTGAAGTATTCTCTATCTCTCGCCTTGGCGAGAAGGGATGCATTCTTGAACATCCATCCGTAAAGTAGATGTGGCACGAATGTCATGATCTTAACTAAACTTTTGGTTCAAGTTACTGGTAGATATCACCTTTGTTCCAATAGCTTCTTGGACATCATTTCAAACTACTTCGATGTGCGGACCGCTTACATGACTGTCTGTCTTTCTAGTTGCTCACGGAATACACTCTCGCTTTCCTATCGCCGTGTAGATCTCTAAGGACTTGACGTCTCTTTCTACGTCCAGTAAGCTGCAAGTACATGCACGTACTACAGAATGATCTGAATCCAAACATGTGCTTTAGAATGAGCGGCTCCAACAGTTACGAAGGTATAGTTGCGGCCCACCGTCACCAGTATACGTACGACAAGTTGCAAAGCTAAAAGATCCACCAACTTGTCTCTTGGTTTTGTCTAGTTCACCTACTGAAGGTACTTTTACTACATCCGAGCGCTTAGCTACCCAAAGTTTTAAAAGCCTTCTGTAAGATTCATGTACCTTATCTGAGATCAGTGGGAATGGAGGTAGCTATGACGGAGAAATATATACCAATGTTGACTTATGAGTTATTAGTGCGATGAGCAGATAATTTCATACAGAATGAAAGTATTGAAATTTTTACACCCATGACGAACTACACTTCAGAAATTGATAGGAAATAAATGCAATAAAAAAACGCTTTTTGCAATTTCTGTTTCAGAACGTCTTTATGTTTGTGGATAATCAAATGAACTTTGGATATTTAATCGACGCCAACAACTATACAAAAGGTAAACTGCACAACGACTTGTGGCAAATTAAGGATAATCCTCAGGTAAGTCTGGTAACCTGACACCAATTATTTCTAGTTTGAAATAAAGGTTATTTCCATATTACCTAGCGACAAGATGAGGTCTATGTTTAAATGATAAAACCCAGAAGTCTAAAAAGCAATTTATCATAGACAAAAATTATATTTGTGAAAATTGTACGATGTGTTTAATTGCACAAAAAACCAGTTACAAGTTAGAGTTCCATCAAATCGCTTCACCAAATGGATTTTCTCCATAATAATGTTTGTATGCATAAGAATTCACAGGAACAATAAAGCGCTAAAACGAATCTACAAGGGAAAACATTCTGACAGAAATCAGTGATGCCATCTGCCCATTATCAGAATCAACATTCATAGTTATAAACTGCGTGGAAAAACAAAGATGACAACTGTTTTATATTGTAGTTAACTATTAACGTCACAAACTGCGATTACTGCTTATCATATATATTACAACCATAAACTTTTGATTATTATTCGAAATTGAACAGGACTGGGAAGAAAAATATATACACCCACAATACTTCGACTTTGCAAAACCTGAAGTGACAATGACAGACATTGCACAACCATGTCCAGACGTATTTTGGTTTCCTCTGGTATCAGAAACTTTCTGTAAACATCTTATTGAAGAAGTAGAGAACTATGGACAGTGGTCAACAGGAGATAACTATGATCCAAGATTAGAAGGCGGTTACGAGAATGTACCAACTAGGGATATTCACATGCGCCAAATTGATTGGGAGGAAAACTGGCTTTATGTTCTAGAAAAGTACGTGCATAAAATGCAAAAGAAAATCTTCCAAGGATATGATGACAAGGTAGGTAATCCCAAGCACCAATGTGAAGGTTAAAATTATATACCTATTTTATGTCTCGCTAATACTGTTATTTCGCTATTAAACTGTTGTAGCCATGGGCACGTATGAATTTCGTCGTTAGATACAAGCCAGACGAACAACCTGCGTTGAGACCTCATCATGATGCGTCTTCCTACACACTCAATATTGGACTAAACCAGCCTGGAAAAGACTATAAAGTGAGTAATCTTTAACACGAATACAGTGCTTAATTGGACCGATACTTTAACCTATTACTTTCATTTGCAGGGAGGTGGCATACGCTACAATCGTTACAACTGTTCAATCGTTGATACACGTGTCGGGTGGGCAGTGGTCAGTCCAGGAAGAGTGACTCATTTGCACGAAGGACTACCGACAACGGAAGGGACACGCTACATCTTTGTTACCTTTGTCAATCCTTAAATTTTTGTATGTACTAGTTTGCAAAATTACAACAATCAATGGTCATAAAAGCTTTGTCTTGATGATTGCATGCATTACATTGATAACCCAAAAAGTTGTAACTGTCTTGATCACGCATACCTCGAATAGCTAAAAAAGACAAACGAATAAACTTACGATCAATCGGTTCATGTTCAAATGTTTTCGTATTAGTGAATGGATTGCCGAGTGAAATTCATAGTACAGATGCAAATTGCCTTAATATAAATTTCAGATCGTTATTTTATTTCTCTTATTCAATTCAAGATCCAGTAATCCTGAAACTATTATTTTGAGGTTTCTTGTGATTCGAATGAGTTCAGATAGCATGCGCCTAGGCATTCTCACTAGCCCTTCCAAAGTTCATACAGAGACTGCGATCGAATGACTTACAACACCTCTTTTCATGGAATTTAGAGCACCACAAGGCTATGATATGTCGAATACATCAGAACGAATCTGTCGAAATGAGTAGTTTCGTTAGAAATATTCGGTAGGAGCGGACCGCCTAAATTAAATCCAGTGAACAGATGACTGGGTTCAGTAACAGCGTTCAGGTTCTGCGAAATTCTCAGTTTCTCGTTATTTAATTTCCTTGTCCACATATAATTATTTCGGAATTACTTCATGTCAGTTCTTCGTTTTCATTACTCTTCTGTATAATTTCTTAACATTAGAGTATTCTATTTTCTTATTTGACATTCACACAACTGTAAAAGAAAGACAAAATGAATCAAAATTCTTGACTATATATATTTATTTCGTATCATATGTTAGTGAACAGATGAAGGAATAGTATTACAGACAAGTGATGAAACAGTCGCACACTGAAGCAGAAATGCATCTCAGTAAAAGGGGTTAACACAAACGTTGTCAATGTTTAGTAACGCCCTGAAGGAAAACAGCAGATTAAAATGCAGCGCTACTTACGATCATAGCTACGCGAACGAGACCTTGAACGAGAATAGCGTCCACGTGGGGAAATACTTCGTCTCCGAGGAATAGGGCGTCTAAAAAAGGATCGAAAGCTGGCTTATTCCCGAGTGATAATAACCACCAGTATGGTAACATAAATCGAAAAACAATTAACGATAAACAGACAACTGCGCAACTTGAAAACCAGGAAAGGAAAATAACCATCAACGTAGAAAAAGTGGGCGGCAAACTGTCGCAAAACTAGTTATAACAGGAAATATATAGAATGCCTAAATAACAATTTTATGAACTACTTCAAAGACTTCGAAAAGTGAAGCATACAATGCAGGTAGCGGATGATAATGTTTTCTGTGTATTCAAGATATTTCAGGTTAAGATGAAAATCGTCAAGCACATGAATTATTCTATACAAACCACTAAAAGCACTGAGTATTATATTTTAGGTTGAGATGATTTAGTTTAAATTTAGAGATAACATGACGCGGTTTTACCTGTTATCAAGTGAGAAATATATAATTGGAGTTCCACTAGAAAATAAACTGCATTAAAAAAATAAACATGATGCTAATTGGCCAGCTATGGATTTCTCTCAAAGTTAGCTAAAAAGTACTTGCTTGACTGTTCGTAACCTACCTTGATGGTCGTCCCATGTATATGCCAGGAGTGGGCGAATGTGGTCTTTCAGTGATGCTGAAATCACACCTAATAGGTCGACCATCAATTTCCATTCCGTGTGCATCGGCCTTTGCAGCTTTTGCGTCAGCGACGTGAGTGAAATATACAAAACCAAATCCGCGTGAGCGACCTGGAAATAACATGAACAGGAGCTAACAAACCTGTGTAGTTATCGAAAACTAATTGTACATCTTCAATATTTCCATATTGAGAAAAAATATCATACAGGTTTCTTTCTTGAGTGTGAAGAGATAACCCAAAAACACCAAGGCATCTGGAAGGAGTAGGATTTTCGCGTGGTCCAAGAAACCTCCTAAAATAAGTTGGTATGCAGAACACATTAGAGATGTTAGCGAATAAAGTAACATCTTAAAAAGAAAAATAGCAAATGATCAATGGTTGCTCACAGTTGATTCACGTTATAAGTTTTTCAGGATACACACGACAACTATGGAAACTGTATTACTGAAGTCAGAATACCGTTTACTTAAGCCTACCGAACGTATGCTAGAGTAACATGTCGACATCGCCAACCGCGATTAACCATGCATATAAATCCGTGACAATTGGGTCAATGGGCAGTTGCCCCAGATCGTCCGCAGCGTTGAAGATGCTGTTGCATTTTTTTCAAATTTTGAGATCTGGTAATATCATATTTAGTGAAGGTGTAGATCATGCTACAGGTTATACGAAAGCGTAGCAACATGAGCTAGTAGTTAGATTTAGCTAAATAAACCCGCTAGGAGATGCTTTGAGGATATAACAGATATTGACCACAGAGATAGCGCGGATACAGACGATTGAAAGGACGTGATGTGGTAGCTTCAACTGATGTACGTAAGTCCTTCGTTGCAGCTGCCTGACATGATTCGAGAGAGTGAGACCTAAAAATTTAGACCAAACCCCACTACGCGACAGAAAAGACGCTGGAAATTACCAAAGTACGAACATTAAACACCAGTAAATGGTCTGATAATAACCTGTAATGTAAGTGACAAACTAAATGACTGGAAACTGTTTTGTACTTATGCGAATAATCCTCAGGAATATTCAACACAGAAAAATCCTAACTCGAAATTTCTTGCCACTTTTTTTGTTTGGAACCACTATACGATGGCTGAGGTAAAAGATACGTATTCTACCGTGTAAGCCAACGGCGCACACGCTATGCCGTAAGGAAAACAAGTTGGTTAGGAGTTAGAAGACTAGCTGACATAGGAAGGGCGCAACTTCCAGGACCACTAATAAGAAGCTTTGGAAAAGACAAACGAGGATTTAGAAAGTAGGACGAAGAAAGGACGGAAACAAGTAACATATAGGACCGTTATATTTACTCTAAATAATACGTAAACCGTACAAATTACGAACACAGACGTCTTATGCTAATCAAAACGCATTATAAAAGAACTAACTTTCGGCCTGAACTGCGATATCCGTAGCCAGGGCTGCGACGATAAAAGTCACGACTACCGCTCCGGCTTCTGTATCGACGTGAGTGTGATCTGGAAATTTAATCAATTGCACAAAAAATTACTTTGAACGAGATCTAGATCGACTATATCGACGACCTCTAGGTGATACACTGTTTCGGTAACCGTTTGAAGCAACAGGCGAGTCCGTCCTGCGCATTTCGACCAAGAGATTCTTGAACTTCGAAATAACCGCGGGTATCTAGGATAACTAACATTTCAAACAAATCAGAGCTATAAAACTACTTTGAAAGACATTTAAATCACCCACTTCATTATTTGGTTTTATTTCCATTATCAACGATTTAGGTAATTGCTCATCACCGAATAGGTTTGGCTCAGTAAACAAATGTTGCCGTACAACTAAAACTCCTTTGATCGTTTTCATGGTTTGCGTTCGTTGTTGTCACGAAATACATTTTTATATCTTTCACATAAACAGTTGTTTAATCACAGCTTAACTTTGTTCTTATCCAGCATTATCAGGCATGTTTGTCAAAACGTCATATTCCTGTACGGTTGTCCCTGTAAATTTCGTAATCTCCCAATTCTGGAGAAACTTTCATTGACTTTAGAAGACTTTAATAATGAATTACGGATGACATGAAACAAAATTTCATATTTTTCAGTCTAGAGAAAAATAACTTTACAAGTTAGGCCCACTACTTACACAAATTCAGGATAATGGGTTATTCTAATAGTCCCAGTTTAGGTAATTCATCTTTGCGTCCAATTTTCACTCGAATTTAAGTCTGCTTCAGCGACCATGATAGTGCAGCTCTAAGTACAGTTAACTGTATTATAAGAAATCTAGGTCGTATTGTGAGCGGCAATTATTTCATAATTTAGTCTTCAAAAACTTAAAGTTAGTGGATTAGCATTGTCCTCCACTGGCATATTTAACTCAGCATTCTATAACACTATGTAGTCCAACTGGTCTTTTTTTCTAATATCGTTTTAGATCCAAAGTTATTGAAAATACTAACCTATCTGATATTGTGCCTCACTCATTTTCGTTGTCGATATGTCAGTTCTACATATTCGAATTACCTGAATAAACTTCCGCTGGACTGTTCATTTTTGTGAGAGTTCTCACCAAATTAATTTAAACTGTGCATTATTTGGAACCTAGCTACATGCTGTTCTGCTACTTGCCACGAAAATTTCTCGGATCTTTCGGCAGACAATCATTTTACAAACTGTCATCCTACTATTTATTAAAATCCAATCCATGTGTTAATTTCCAACAGAAAATTACAGTTCATGGCCCCTACCGTAACCGCTACACACATTACAAAAATGCCTATCCTGTAGACAACTCTTTATACTTTAAGTATTACTTTGGAGCTTTAACGTGCGCCTTTTTATTATATATTTCTATAGGGTAAGCTTGTTCTTCCATATTTATAATTATTTTCAGATTCTCTTATTTCGAGCGCAAGATCTATAAACCCTACATTGGAAAAGATACTAAAAAGGTATTTTATCTTTTTACTAACTTACTGTAGAAATGCAATGTATTAAATGCGAAATGTCAGTCAGAGATTTCTGGCTCAGATGAAGAAGAGCTACAACAAAACGACTCTGTAAGGAAAAAGCATGTTGGATTTCGAGACAGAAAGGTATTAATTACTTTCTTTAATCGTCTTGTACTCACTTAATAAACGTACTCATCTTAAAGATAGCTTATTTCATTTTTGCGTTCATGTTTATTCTATTCATCCTAAAGCACGCTTTTTCTAAATTTTCTCTCCGAATATATGAGTTAATTTCTCACGAATGTTGAAGCCATCGCTTCTTTGATCCCCCTCCAGTTGTTATCGATGGTGTTTTTCTCTCCAACGAATAAATCGTGAAAGGCTTAGAACTTGTTGCCGAAACCTCTCTTAAATTCGTTGAGTTTGCCAGTACCCCGAAGGAAGTTCGTACTAAACTTTGATGGTGCTGTGTGCCCAGTTGTCCGGCACTTTTCAGTTTCATCTTGTCCATTACAAAGCGATAATCTAAAACTGTCTCTTCTCTTTGTCTTTGCGTCCCCTGTGGTGCTTCTGAACTCTTGGTGCATATGTGGTGGATTTGGTTCTATGTAGTATTATCTGGTTAAACCCATGATGTGGCTTTTTGTATTTTCTTGTGTGGGGATATGGTGCTACCTATAGCCATTTTATTGAAGGCACATAAGTTTGCGAGCCTCTCCCAGTATATGTTGCCCTATGATGTTTTCATATACACTGCTGTCCACTCCAACCTTGTCGTTTATGTCTCCCATCAGAATGGTCAAGTCCTATGTTAGGCACTTCTTGACGATTAACTGCAGCCAATTAGATAACTAGTCTCTATCGTTTTGATTGTTATCGTTGGTTGTTGCATGGCACTGGATGACATTCACTGTAATCCCCTTTTTTATCTTGAAGGATGCTTTGAGAAAGCGAGGTCCATGGGATTCCCATCCCATAAGTGCTTTTTGTGCTTCTCTGGACAACATTAGTGCAACTCCTTGTGTGTGTGAGGTATTTCCCTCTTCATGGCCAGCATACAACAGCATCTCTCTTGAAGCTAATCTTTTTTGTCCAACTTGTGTCCAATATGTTTCACTGATTCTAAGCACCACCAGGTTGCATCTTTTCATTTCTGTGACAACTTGAATACTTCTTCCGGTCTGCAACACTGCGAACATTCCATGTACTTATATTAATTGTTGCTCTGGTTGTCGGAAGGGGAGTCTGCCTTGTGATTTCCAATGAAACTCGGCTTTCAACATGTGTCATAAATGAAGACGGGTTCCAGAGTGGTTCAAACTATTTATGCTGGTTGGCGTTTTTCTAGCGAGTTGGTTTTCTATGGGATGTAGTTACTAATCTCATGCCCTGCCTTCCTTTATCCGAGTTTGGAACCGGCGTTGACCTCAGAAATGCTTCAGGCTGAGTTATCACAAAGGGCAGACAAACATAAAAATGAAGTATTTTTGATTCAGAGATAAATAAGAGGCGAAATTTGTAAAATTGCATCAATTAGTTTTTAAGTATATTGCTCAAAAGTCGTAGCATTCTAGACATATCGCTTCTCAGTAATAAGTTCTAGTTTTGAAATGTGTATATAAACCTACCGCCATATTTTAGATGTCACCCTGAATAGGAGGTCCGTTTGGCCCATCGTGACGACTCTACCGAGCTATATCGGCTGAACTCTGTTCACTTATAATCTGTTTTGCCAGATAAGTCGATTGGAGCACGGTAAGACTAAAAGTAGTTTTTTAGTGTCTGAGGGCGAAGTTGTACAACCGAGTATAGAGGGCTTAACAGCAGTAAGGTATTTCCCTCGGACAACCAGCATCTGAAAAGATAGGAAGCTGTTGGATAGGTTGAACCTGAAAATGTCACACTTCATTCTACCCTACAAATTTCCGTCCCCGGCGTAGAAGCCTTCTGAATAGCCGAGCTAACACTTCAAAAACTCTTAATAAAAAGGCCTCTAGTAGTTGTCTCTTGGGCTCTGCTGTCACGTTCGCTGGTCACTAAGACCAGTGCTGATGCAGCTTCCTTTTCAGGTCGCTCATGAAATACTCTCCCACAATGTAGGCAGCAAGGAAGTGACAACCGCCCTCATACCCCTAACAGCAGACGAGAACCAATTGGTCGCAGTCGAATCCTTCCTACACTTAATAACCCCTATCTCTACAACTAACCCTTCTCACATTCCTTTAGCACATCGCGCTTCTGTTGCAAACGAATTGCGTACATGAAATGTTATTCCTGGTTTCTTGAAACCCCACTCTAAACTGCATGTTGAATCTTCTAATGTTAGGACATTAGAATCTCGCACCATTGATGTATGCTGCATCTCCGAAATGCGCACACAGGATCCGAATACAGTTAGTGATTTGACCTCACCTTGTTGATATAAACAACCATTGCAATTTCTCTTTCGTGTAACTGTAGACCTCACTGCTACTACCCATGGCTTCACTGATGTGGGTATAGCATCGTGTTCAAAGACAGAACTAGCTCTCTTAGACTGGATTCCAATAGATAATCGCTTGCGTGCTATCTGGTTAAACGAGAAGGTTAGAACTTGAAAACAGAGAGGAATGCCGTTGCTTCTTCGTTTTCTCACTTATCCTGAAAGTCTCGTCAGCCCTGGAAGGTTGGAGGTTGATGACATATCGTTTGGCGTTTGCTAACTTGTGGCATAGGTCAGATGTTCATCAACAAACTGAGGAGCAAGCATGCTTCTCTATAGTCTTATGTGAAACCTCGCCTTTCAAAATAAGTTAAATTTGTATGTCACTACTGCTTAATCACAGATTTCTATGAGGTGTTGCTCATGCACCGTAGGACGAAGTGAGCAATGCTGAGGTTAGTTATAGTATACTAGGTGTCAGCCGATGAGGCTGTGAATCTTCATGAAGTGTGCATATTACCTACTCCCAGTTACCTCCTGCTTTGACTGAAGAATAATGGTTACAATCAAACCAAAACTTGGGATCGGTCTTTCAAGTCATTGACTGTTTGAGCCGTGTAGAAACTACTTGCGTGGTGATGTGTAAAAATTGTAATCAGTGGTTGGGTTGTGGTTGGCGCCACTCACAAGATGGCTTATAATTAGTATGCAGCGGAGCGTCACGTGGAAGTTATTACCAGAGGGAGTAGTGTGGAGAGGTAGAAGTACACAGTGTGATAAGTGTATTTGAGGACGAGAAAAGCAATGGGAGAAGTCAGTCTAAAGCCAGCATGTACTTCCGAACGCACAGCATATGCGAATGGATGTGTATAGACTAGGTGTTCATAGTTCATAAACAGTCTGTGTTTTCACTAAATATTTATGTTTCATCTGGACTTGTCCTTACATAGTGACGTGGCTCACAATCGGTCTCAGGTGTGTAGACGCGTCTATTACATCCCTAGGTCATAAGTATCAATATCATATCAAACTTTTTATTCAACGGACTCCTGTCTTTTGGAATAAAATTCATTACTAATAATCCCTTTTTACTGTGATTAGTATTACATCTATTACTTTGGCATTTATCGTTACCTTGCCTTGATGCTGTGGTCCTATTTTTTTATAATTAAACTTCACTTAAACAGTATTACCTGAAATGGATATATAAGCATGTATTTAGTAAATGAGTTGCGTCACTAATTAATCCAGGATACTTGTTAAATACGAAAAAACCTGATATCTTAAATCCTCATTATTATGTTATGTACAACTTCATATTTGACTTGCCAGTTCATTATTGAGGCAAATATATGCGTATTACTTTTCGCTCATTGGAACAGCCTACTAAGCGTCAAGATAGTAGTTCATGACTAGTTTTCCACATCATATTTTGTTGTAAGCAGTACAATAAATCGTCCATTTCTACATTATTACTCATAACTAACATTGCTTGTAAAATACTAGTTCATTGCATATGAAAACCGAATTCGAGCCTACTCTACACCGGACAAGATCTTTCGTTATTTCGCGACCCTAAAGAGCATAGAAGAAGACAGCGAAACAATTTATATGACTCCTGAAGACTTCCTTCGTTCAATTACTCCGGGTATTAAACAGCCTGATGGTTTAGATCTGGATTCGTTCAAACGATATGATCCAAAGGTTAGTCATAAAATTATCAATTATCTATGTGTTACTACTCTAAAAGTTTTCATCCACACGTACTGCAAAGTGCGAAGTTTTCTTTCGAAATATAACTTTTTTCCACCTCTTAGGGTTTTACTTGATGATAATCAGACTAAGAAAATATTTCAGAAGCAACTAGAAACAGAGTTAAGCAACCATGTAAGCGATCCCCATCCAGAAGCAGGTTGGAATGATATTAAAAAGGCTGTGGAAACGACAGTGATATCTTCTTGTAAGGTAAACCATAAGGCTAGGATGAAGCCGTGGATCTCAATAGCATCTACCGAACTGATGGATGCTCGAAAACTCATCCCGCCTTGCTCTGAGGGTAATGAGGAGCGGAGTCAGCTTAGACGTAGGCTGACAAAAAGCCTACGCAATGATCGAGAACAGTGGCGGGTGCAGAAAGCGAGAGAAATGGAAAAGGCAGCGGTGATAGGCAACAGTAGACAACTTTTCCGACTTATCAAGGAAACTGGTATTAGGAACCAAAATGTGAGTGAGACTATATCGGAAAAGGATAGGACTATTATTTATTCTCAATCCAGGAGACTGGATCGATGGGCAGAACACTTTAGGGATCAGTTCAAATGACCTCGAGCCACATTTCGATTACGCACGATCTCCAGGCATCCCGAATGGCGAATCGATGCAAGTCCCCCTAGTCTTTATGAAGTTGAGGAAGCGTTAGGAAACCTGAAGCGAGAGCGAGCTGCAGGTCCTGATAGACTGACCCCTGAGACATTTAAGGATGGTGGTCCAGTTTTAGCAGCCAGGTTGACTGAGATCTTAGGTAGAATTCGGGAACTGGACACAATTCCATCCGACTAGTCTCAATCCCTGATTATCCCAATCTATAAGAAAGCACAAAAGTCTTCTTGTGACAATCACAGGGGAATCAGTCTAGCTAATATAGTTTCTAAATTGTTAGCCTCGATTATACTTAGACGCCCGACTAGTGATCGTGAAGAGCACACTAGAGAAAACCAGGCTGCTTTCAGACCTGGACGTGGTTGTATAGACCACATCTTCACACTAAGACAGGTCCTGGAACACAGACACACACTTAGGCGTCCTACAATAGTTGTCTTCCTGGACCTAAAAGCGGCATTTGACTCAGTGGATCGTGAGGTTCTATGGCAGTGTCTGTTATTGAAAGGTGTACCAAAGAAGTACATTAACCTTATACAAGCTCTCTACTCTAAAACTACTGGTCGGGTGAGAGCTTATGGCGAACTGTCATTGGAATTCTTTACTTCAAGTGGCGTCTGTCAGGGATGTCCACTCTCTCCATTCTTGTTTAATTTTATCATAGACATGCTCCTAGAGATAACCTTATCCTCGTCTCAATTTTCTGGAGTAGACCTTTTACCAGGAGGCTCGCTTATCAACTGAGAATATGCCGATAACATTGTCCTACCTGGTGAAGACGCTGACAAAATGCAGAGTCTTCTGACTACCCTAAGCAACAATGCAAGCATGTTCGGGATGCGGTTTTCCCCCTCGAAATGCAAAATGTTGCTTCAAGACTGGGTTTCATCGGCACCTGAACTAGTGATAGGGAGTGAAGTAGTCGAACGTGACTGACGAAATCTCAGCTCGGATAGAGAAGGCTCGATTGGCTTTTGCCAACCTGCGTCACTTATGGCGTAGGCGAGATATCCGTTCGCTGGTTTTCGATCATCGGTGTCTTCGAAGCATTGCTCGTATATCCTGGGACACCCGATTGAGCAACGCTGGTATTAGGAGACTGTTGCTAGATAGGGATGGCAGAATAAGAGTTGAAGTAGTGAAACTTCATCAGTTGAGGTGGCTGAGACATGTGTTACCTATGTCTAACCACCAACTGCCTCGTCTAGCTATATTCTGCGGTTTAGGGATAGGTGGGACGAAAGCTAGGGGCGGTAAATTCATTTTATTCTACAGAGCAATGTAAATCATTGGAATAGATATCAAATTTATATTTTCTATCGTATAAACATAAAATCTATTGACACTAGAAAACCATTATAATCAAACCATTTATTTGAATAGGAAATGTTCAAGGCAACCTAACCACCTACCTTACAAAAACCTAATATACTCTACAAGAAGAATAACTGAATGATTGTTTGAAGGAGAAGAAGAAAAAAAAAGTAGAAACTCACTTTGTATTCTTTATGACGATTTTTCAACAAATCTAAACGAAGAATTAGAAGTTTTTGGATTGATATAATCCAATACAGCTTGACGAACATTTGGCTTTGAATCAGTAGTAGCCAATTTCACAGTATTTCCTGAACTAGTTCCCAAAGTATCATTATTTGAAGAAGCCTCTGTCAGCTGAATATTTTTAATTTCGAAATAATGATAAAATTTAATTGCAAACAATAAAATCTAAAGGTTTATTAAAAGTTAAATTAAAACAGTATTTATCACAGATTAATAGCCTGTTGTGGAACTACTAAATACTAGCAAGTATTGAAAGCACATTCCTTTTTAGAATAGATGGATTGTGGTCTGCAGTAGGATCCAGGTCATGAAACTGGTTCTATTTATGACTTGTCAATTGGATGTACGTGTATTCTAAGTAGGAGTCTCAAATGGGACAAAATCCACCCTCTTGGGGGTCCAACGTTTAACCACAGTCCATCTATTCTAAAAAACTTACAACCAAATGGCTATTTTTAGGAGACAATACGCTTATGATGCATTTATGCTAACCGAAAATGATCGAAATTTAGTCCGGAATGTCAACAGGGAAATAATTTCTAGTAATGGCTTGAATTGATTTGAAGAAAGCTAGGAACGGCAAGACCAAAACATGGCACAAATCTATGAAGTCATTGACGAGTGGACTTAGCCATGTCGGTAGTTGTCGACTACCTGGTTTGGGTCCGCGAGATGTTAGTAATCGATGTTTTGAGACCCTGAATGACATGGCTCAAAACCGTTTGCAATTGCGCAGGTGATTCATTCTTTGTGTTCTCTAAAACCCTAAACTTTTCAATTCTTCATCACTTTATTTTTATCTTTTTAGGTCTGTTTCACTAGATTCTACTTCTTGACTAATATCTTCTAATCTTAACCTCTCCGACTACTGCTAAAACCTCTACTACTATTGGATTTGAATTGGCAATTACATCTGTGTGCTGATGTGCTATGGCAACATGAACTGATGTACGAACGTACGAAGTTCTACGTTGCTATTGATTGATTGTTATGTTTGCATTATAAAAACGTTTCAAGTCCCACACTTCGCTTTTCTTGATTAGACGTTTGTCTACGTAAAAGAAGCGTATTATATGTATATGATTTTTTTCTGTGAGTAATTATTTACTCAATAAATATTTATTACACGTTACCTAAGGGCAATACTTTATCCAATCTACTTAAAATGTCTCATTTTTTCACTCGCAACAATAATAGCAGCTTATTTCGCACTTCAAGTTCTTACATTAGAAATTTCCCTTTAAATTCTAGGTTAAATGTGACGTTTAAGTAATTCAATTTTATTATTTTATGTATATAATATACAATTACACTTTGTACATTAACTCATTTGCTTACATTCTTTTCTTTTGGCATATAGACTGGATTAGTCTGGTTCCATAACAAGGTTAGTCCTTTGTTATTGACTAAAAAGTTTATATATATAATATGTTTACAAACTGTATTTCTGCAGATTACTCTAAAAGTGATTATGTTCAATGAAAAGCTATCTGAAATCTAGAATGGCATAACTTACCGATCGCTAGTTTAACGTGTCTTATATTCGTGAATGATTGACCAAATTGTTTTAGTTACCTCATCCTTGTTGAAGGATGTATGGTTTGATTTTGAGTTTAAGTACCCATACAACCTCAGGGAAGTGAGTAGTCGCTAATCTTAGAAACCTCACCGGTCTTCAGTCAGTCAGTCAGCTACAACGTTGAACTTCATACGTACGTACATCACTTCAAGTTGCCATACCACATTAGCACAAAGATGCAATTATCAATTCAAATCCCATAATGGGAGATGCACTAGAAGTATTAACTTGCTAACCAAAGGACGAGTGTACCGAAGCATTGCTCGTGTATCTTGGGACAGCCGTATACGCAATGCTGTTATTAGGAAACGAGTTCTAGGTAGGGATAGCAAATCAACAGATGAAGTATTGAAACTTCATCAGTTGAGGTGGTTGGGACATGTGTTACGAATGCCCAAGCAACGACTGCCTCGACGAGCTATGTTTTGTGGTGTAAGAGTAAGTTGAAAGTTAGGGTCAGCCAAACCAATACATGGCACAAATCCATGAAATCACTGGCAAGTGGACTGAGTCATGTTGGTAGATGTAGGTTGTCTGGTTCGGGTCCACGAGACGAAAGTCACCAATGGTTAGAGACCTTGAACGACATAGCTCAGAATCGTTTGCAATGGCACAGGTGCATCCACTCTTTGTGTGCTTTTTAATTCTAACCTTCTGAATTCCTCATAATCTCTACCTTTCTCCTTCTAAATTTATCTTACTGACTTATACTTTTCGAATAATATCTTAGCTCCCTAATCTTCTCCATTACTGCTAATACTCCTATTATTGCTATCACTCTTGGATTTGAATTGACAGTTGCGTCTCTGTGCTAATGTGGTATGGCAACCTGAACTGATGTACTTATGTACGAAGTTCTGCGTTGTATCTGTCTGTCTGTGTTGGTATATGCGAACTACCTGGTCGGGGTCCGCGAGATGATAGCAACCGATGCTCAGAGACGTTGAGTGACATAACTTAAAATCGTTTTCAATGGCGCAGGTGCATCCACTCTTTGTGTTCTCTAACTTTCAACTTACTCTTACACCACAAAACATAGCTCGTCGAGGCAGTCGTTGCTTGGGCATTCGTAACACATGTCCCAACCACCTCAACTGATGAAGTTTCAATACTTCATCTGTTGATTTGCTATCCCTACCTAGAACTCGTTTCCTAATAACAGCATTGCGTATACGGTTGTCCCAAGATACACGAGCAATGCTTTGGAGACATCGATGGTCGAAGACTAGTAACCTACGACTACTTCACTCCCTATCACTAGTTCAGGTGCCGATGAAACCCAATATTGGAGGCAACATTTTGCATTTCGAGGGGGACAACCTCATCCGGACCATTCTGGCATTGTTGCTCAGTGTAGTCAGAAGACTCTGCATTGTGTCAGCGTGTTCACCAGGTAGGACAATGTTATCGGCATATTCTCAGTTGATAAGCGAGCCTCCTGGTAAAAGAACGGAGAGAGTGGACATCCCTGACAGACATCACTTGAAGTAAAGAATTCCAATGACAGTTCGCCATAAGCTCTCACCCGACCAGTAGTTTTAGAGTAGAGAGCTTGTATAAGGTTAATGTACTTCTTTGGTACACCTTTCAATAACAGACACTGCCATAGAACCTCACGATCCACTGAGTCAAATGCCGCTTTTAGATCCAGGAAGACAACTATTGTAGGACGCCTAAGTGTGTGTCTGTGTTCCAGGACCTGTCTTAGTGTGAAGATGTGGTCTATACAACCACGTCCAGGTCTGAAAGCAGCCTGGTTTTCTCTAGTGTGCTCTTCACGATCACTAGTCGGGCGTCTAAGTATAATCGAGGCTAACAATTTAGAAACTATATTAGCTAGACTGATTCCCCTGTGATTGTCACAAGAAGACTTTTGTGCTTTCTTATAGATTGGGATAATCAGGGATTGAGACTAGTCGGATGGAATTGTGTCCAGTTCCCGAATTCTACCTAAGATCTCAGTCAACCTGGCTGCTAAAACTGGACCACCATCCTTAAATGTCTCAGGGGTCAGTCTATCAGGACCTGCAGCTCGCTCTCGCTTCAGGTTTCCTAACGCTTCCTCAACTTCATAAAGACTAGGGGGACTTGCATCGATTCGCCATTCGGGATGCCTGGAGATCGTGCGTAATCGAAATGTGGCTCGAGGTCATTTGAACTGATCCTTAAAGTGTTCTGCCATCGATCCAGTCTCCTGGATTGAGAATAAATAATAGTCCTATCCTTTTCCGATATAGTCTCACTCACATTTTGGTTCCTAATACCAGTTTCCTTGATAAGTCGAAAAAGTTGTCTACTGTTGCCTATCACCGCTGCCTTTTCCATTTCTCTCGCTTTCTGCACCCGCCACTGTTCTCGATCATTGCGTAGGCTTTTTGTCAGCCTACGTCTAAGCTGACTCCGCTCCTCATTACCCTCAGAGCAAGGCGGGATGAGTTTTCGAGCATCCATCAGTTCGGTAGTTGCTATTGAGATCCACGGCTTCATCCTAGCCTTATGGTTTACCTTACAAGATGATATCACTGTCGTTTCCACAGCCTTTTTAATATCATTCCAACCTGCTTCTGGATGGGGATCGCTTACATGGTTGCTTAACTCTGTTTCTAGTTGCTTCTGAAATATTTTCTTAGTTTGATTATCATTCAGGGTAACCGTAGGAGGCTTCCTACGGTATCTTTCCTAGGTCGAGTAATCCTCAAACAAATACCCGCTCGCACAACAGCATGATCTGAATCTAAACGTGTGCCCTAGAACGAGCGTCAGTACTCTATAGAACCTGTCTATCGGTGACTGACGGCGATGTGATCTAGTTTTTTTAATGTTGAGACGACTTCGCAGGTCCTCAGGTCAAAAGATGTTAATCCTTATGCCTAAAGTTAGTGTTTGCTAGGACTAGGCGGTTATTTGAGCATAGTTGCAACAGACGGTCGCCATTGTCTGTTCTCTGAGCATATACATACCAACACGGCTCAGTTAGTTCATGGATTTGTGCCACGCATAGAGTTTGCCTACACAATATACTAAGGATCCGTTGACCAGACACCATCAGCAAGAGCCTACTGTTAGAGGTAATAATTCAGATTCCATCTGAGGAAGAAATTATGAAAAAGCGCTGCAGGTTGATAGAACACACATTGGAGAAACCACTCAACTGCATAGCGATGCACCGTCACTTGGAGTCCTCAAGGTCAAAGGATAAAATTTAGACCAAAGCACATCATATGCTAAGACATGAAAGGATAGAACAGAATAGTTAGAAGAATGACGGTCGATGGCCTATGCTCCATCAGAAGTAAGAGGCATAAGTAACTAATCTCATGTATCTATCCTCTAATTGGATTGAGGTTGTAAACAACTGAGGAAAAATGCATATTTTGCCTTTATTGAATGTTTAAAGTACTTAAAATGCTACAGACTCCTCACCTTAGATCATATCAGTGGTAATATAAAAATATATTTCATTATCTATACAAATACGAGTATTAAAGTCTCGGCAAAGTTTACTGTACTGACGATTTTAAGTAAACCATTCACAAATTGCATAGCGCTTCTTTTAATGTTGCTTGAAGTTAAAAGTGCAGTGCATGTGATTAACCATGTAAAAATTAAAAAAATTTTGTTCGTTAGATTTTTTTCATCATTAAAAATATCTCATGTTTAACCAAACAAAGAATATGTTAGATTTCAAGAAATACCTGTTCCTAATGTAGATTGTGTGTGATTTAGTGCCTAATCAAGTGTGTTTGTGCAATTAGATAGTTTTAGTGACCCGGGATCTTATTCCATTTTTGGACGAAGGATTAGTTATTGTTAGGTGAGCTCCTTTTGTGCGACGACGTTAATTTAAAGCTCAATACTATCTTATTTGTTTGAACTTATTTCGTACACTCACGTTTGCAGACTGATAAGAATGAGAAGCGTAAAAGCAAAGCAAAGTGGAAAAGATAAGTAGACCAACTTCAATTGCGGGAGCACAACTCAATGTTTATAGTTAGACTAAAGTAAGCTTGATGTGTGATAATAAACTGTACACTTGTGAATCTATTTGATTCATGTTAGTAGTGTGAATTATGGTTTAAATGTTTAATAGGTAACACTTAATTCTGTCTATCATTTTCTTGTCTGGTTTTTTTTTTATTGACAGAGTGAAAAATTAAATTTGGGTATACCTAAAGAATCAGTATTTTATAAGCTTTGCGATCAAGCTTTAATCACATTCACTGATTTCATATTTCTATTAACTGTACTTTCAAGTAAGTTTTGTGATTGTTTAAATGTTAGAAATTAATTTTCCTATCTACTTGTTTATTTTTCATCCTTTTTGAGATAGGAATAAATTTGACAAATTAAATGTTATTATGTCTGCAGAAAACAAACTTTAATACATATATATATATATATTTGATATCATAGTAGTCTTTCTTTATGTAAACAGGATTGCAGTAATCAATTGAAATTCACCAATTATTACCGTACAACAGCCATGCAAAAGCAAATTATTCTAATTCTAAATACGTCTAGAACTTAGTTGAAACCAAGTTCCGGTGTTATTTCAAGTCTCCTCTGACAATGTGAAAAGAAAATCTTTCAGCCAAATTAATTAGACATGCAACTAGTGTAGATCATGTTTTAAAAATTTCAATGATGTAAATCAATAATATGCTGTTTGTTAATCGTATAATTTTAGCGAAATTGATAATTGTTCTTTGTCTTAAGATATGTGTTTTCAACGCCACAATTACTCATAAAACCAACAAACTCCCGTAAGTCGATTGTAGCTACTAGTTGATCGGAACAAGTATTATAAAACTGATTACATAGTCAATTTATTTGTCGCTCCACAAAAGCGTAAAAACATTTTAGCAAAGCTATTATTTATTTCTCAGATAATTAGACATTATCGTAGTTAGGAAGTGCAGGCAGTGTAAGTTTTGTAGCGTCTAGTTTTCTAAACTACCATGAGAGCGAAAATGTTATAGATGTTAACTTGCTACACACAAGATTGCGTTCATGTAATAGTTATTTCAGCTTTTACAGACAGCTAACAAACATATAGTCCAATGATGAAGTAAAGCAAGAACCTCTCAGTTATTATGTATCAGTAATTAGTGGATTTTTCTTATTAGCATCTGTAATACCTCACCCTACTTATTTATTGATTTAAGGACAACGAATCTGGTACAACTGGGCATTATAAAATACAATACAAAACATGGAATACAGAAAATACTATGAGAGAAAGGGAGTATATTTGGAGTGAAAGAAAAAAATTCAATTAAATAATCGACAAGAATAGCATAAAGTAGTAGAGACAGTTCAGTTAACATTGGAAATGAGATAACTGGGAATTCTTTCAGCTAAAGAAGTATTCCTCACATTTATGAAAATTATAAAAGAAAATTACCCTAGAATCACCATTAGCTTCTTCCCTGAGCTATGCCTGATAACGTCTCAAGCGTATTTGAGTTTGTGCCGTCCCCGGGCCCTTGCTGTCACACTCTCATGTCATAAATTGACCATCTCCTCGTTTCCTATAACCTAATCCCAGTGTCAGCAGTTAGTGTACGATGTGGAACATGTCTAAGCCACTGAAGCTTGTGTTTCAGTGTACTGACACCAATCGAGTTATCATGATGGTTCCCGTACACACCTTGCCAAACCTAAGCATTGCTAACGGGATGGTGCTACTGAATATCAGCGATAATCCGAAGACAATGATGATTAATCACGAAATCGTATAACACATTTAACTCGGGAAGACTAGGTTTCACAAACATAGGGCGAAACTGTTCTTGCCAACGTATTATAGAGCTCAGCATTTACCGCCCGACTAACATCATCAAGGAGCCAAAGATAGTTAAGGTGCTGGCATAGGCTCCTCCAGTCTTCATTATGCATAGATTGATCTCATCAATTATGCAACTATCCAGATATAAAAAGTTTTCGATTATTTCAAATTGCTCACCATTGAGAGTGAGTACGATCACAGGCTTTTGTCAGTTTTATAAAGTTACTTTACATTTAGGAGTCGAAAACTTCATGCCATATCTGCGGACACTGATTGTTAAATGTTTGGTGCGGTTTGTATGGCTTGAGTATCATCATCTAGAAAGACAATATAACTTGCAAGCTCACGGTCAAAAAGTCTTTCCAGGTAATAGGTCCACTCCCCCGCTACTTGGTCTCATTGGGGCTATTTTCCTAGATAATTATCTAATACCTTCAAATAAAATGCCTTACTGATTAACAATCATCATTAGAGTGTTTTGAGTTTCTTGTGTATCTATTTATCTCCCCTTATACACATGGTTCTTTACTGACAAATAATATTTTATATTACAGTTGATTTTTTCTACAATTATTGTTCCTTCAAGCACCTCGCCGACAATTTGAAATAGCTTTCCGTATGTTTGATATTAATGGGGATGGGGAGCTAGACATAAACGAATTTGAAGTAGTAAGTTAATACTGTGCATATATATTCATATATATACGCTTTTTAGTTTTTCTCATTTCTGGTCATTGTGGCTGATTTTAAGCCATGTCACCCAATGTCCCCAATCACTGATCACAGTTATCAAGTAAACCCCAAATAGGTAATCTGTAACCACCAACATGATTTGAACCAGTAGTCACTGACTCCATGGACTGATTCCGTTCCATGGTTTGACTGCCCTTTACTTTCTTCCGAAATACGCCTATCACAGCAAACATCGCCCGTCGTTGCAAATGATGGTTAAGTATGTAAAACACATATTCCAAACACCACAAATAACGAATGTTCACAATCTCATCAACCAATTTAACATCCCTGTATAGAACCCTGTGCCTAATCACGGGATAGCTCACTCAGTTGTTTAATGACCGACGTTTCAAAAACAGTCATGATCAAGAGCCTGGAGCACACCCTTGTCTTCTATTTTTGAAGAACATCTTTCATAGTTGTAGAATAATAGAGAGCATAGTAGTATGCTGGTATTTTGTTTGGTAGACTAACACTCATCAACGCTAAAAAAGTGGTTAGTTAGGAAAGGTCAACCAAGGTATTTCAATCTATGGTGAGATTTCGTTAGACAACAACCTTCCAGTTTAATGAAACTTTAATAATCATTATCGTTAAAAATAATATTATACGTTACCTTCTGGCATACTGCCTAGTACACCTCAACTTTTTAAATTCTTTTAAGAATTACATTTATTTTGGTTTTTGATCCTCACTTTCGCTCAATGCATAATAGAATTCGTACGTAAATACAAAACTTATTTGTGTAAAGATAAATAAACCGATCAATAACGGGACTTTTGCTTTTCCAGGTACGTTCTGTTATCATGGGTACAACTGCAATGGGTCGTCGTCATCGAGATAATTTAACAACAGGTTGTACTTTGAAACCAAGTAGTTGTAACAGTGCTTTCAAAAGTTATTTCTTTGGTCCAAACGGTGATCAAAAGTTGCCAATCAGTAAATTTCTTCAATTCCATTCTGATTTACAGGAGGAGATTATGCGTTTAGAGGTTAGCTTTTGATTAGTTATATATATTGCTAAAATCCATATATATAACATTAAAGTACGTTTATTAACTACTTTTTGACGATAAGAAAACGTTATTTATGTAGTAACTGATCGCTTCAATCAGTGAAAGGATGTTCAAGAATTTAGCCTAACCTGTCGGATCTTAATTAATTGGAGAATGGTTGACGTACAAACGTATATTCCCCCAATCATCGGTGACATTTTACCATGCTATTTTTCTAGTTAATATGTTCATCAAAGATAATTTTATGACATGAGAAAATCTAGTATTCTGCCTAGTGATATTATTGTCCCGGATCTCAAATCTTTTAAGGATTTAAGTCAATAATACCATATTGTGGGTAGTCGTCACTCGGTCAAGCAAACTATCATTGTAACCATTTATCTATTGGTTGTCATTCTGTTCATCAATTTTAACAGTCAAAAATTTCTTCTCATCAGTGTTCAGAGAGAGCACTATAACAATCAGCTGGTCAGTCATATAAATTCTTTAACCTGGGATATGTGCACATCGGTTTAAGTTGCCTTACAATTTACTCACAGTGATACATTATTATCATGATAAATCCAAAAGTAGTGGGATTGGTAGTATCAGTGGTTGTACAAAAAGACCGCATAGACTACATGATTCGACAACAATAATTTCATGGAATAAATAATGTATGACGTTTTCTGAAACTCAAACGATCGAGGATCCAGAGAAATTACATGCTACTCTAATTTGATTGTCCCAACCCCCATCGAATAAAAGAAGAGGACTTGTTATGACGTAGAACCCGTATTCTACATGCATCCAGAAAGCACGAGGTCCGAGTCCAGAAGAAGATAAGCTGACCAATAGGAAAAAACATGAAGTGACATTGATAGTTAGGACGACCAATAAGAAACAACATTAAAGTACGTGGCATTGATAGCTAGGACGACCATAATATTGACCAATAAGGATCGACCAATAGAATTTACACTTAAAAAAGGATTCTTCGTAGGATATTTGGTGAATATCCTAACAGCCTGTTTGTCTGAACCTACAAACACTGCCCAATCTAACACTTTATTCTCATTACCCTACATACTCAGCCTAATCCAAGACAAATCTTGTGGTTAGCAATTAACAACGGTTTGTCCTTTTCACTAGTTTGTCGACTGATTTTGTTTTATGAAAAAAAATAACCTTAAAGATTTTCTACTACGATTTCACTTAAAGCTGATATTTCAATAGTGCTTATAAAGACGAGTATCTTATCACTCAGGAGGTATTTTTTCATATATTTAAGTTGTTTGATTATGTTTTTCTTATGTGAAAGCTTACATATATGCATATTTAAAAACAAAACTTCAGTTTGAAAGAGCTGAACCAAAGAATGGGAAAATTTCTGAAGTTCAGTTTGCCAACTCTCTACTTGTCTATGCTGGATTTTCTGAAAATAAAAGACGTAAAATGATTCGTCGAGTAAAAACGAAATTCCCAGTAGATTCTGATCAGTCTAGTGTAAGTCTTTGTTTCTATCCTTTTTTTTGTTGATTGATGATAAAACAATATACATTTTGAAATCTTTCTGTTATGACTGATACGGTATAGAGCTTCGGCACTTGAACCTAAAAAGCACCGAAGTTGCAAATCAAAAGGGAGAAAAAATAGGAGAAGCTTCCACTACAGAAAGTGTCAAAATGTACTGAAAATCGGGTGTATTTGTAGTTTTGTTATAGACTGAAAACATTATTAGAATCCACCTAATCCGCGAGCAGAAAGTTTATACAACTTTCCAGTCACAGAATGCCATGTCGATATTCTAGAAATTCTACCAGCTCCTTTAGAGCCTCTAAGAGCTATCCCAATTAATTTTTTGACTAAGTTTTCTCTAACCAAAAAAGAAAGAAAGTCATAAATTTCTGTTAAATGCAAACACCAAGATTGTTAGTTGAATCATGTGTAATAATAGTAAAGATTCCCATTGTGAAAATTAGAACAACACATATAAGTAAACAATATTATTTTCATCTGGTTCGTCATCAGGCTTTTCTCTAATATACATGAATATTGATATGAAAACGTTTAATCAATCAAGGCAATTCGAGTCAGTAATCACAGTGAAATGAAGTAGATTACGTCACTACATACTATAGGCAAAAGTACAAGTGGATAGTCAGAAGAAAGTTGTACTGATAGTAGTAAGAAAATTATGAAATATGATAACTAAAGTCTTATCAATAGCAGGTCAAACGTGGATGAATAGACTTCAAGTAATCATTAAAAACATCAAAACCATTACGTAATAGACATTGTGTAATAGAAAAGTTTGAACCTGATATGACGGACAAATTTAAATAGTTTTGAACTTTCGGTATACTACACTAAGATTGCACCGCTAGAGTGGGTACTTGAAGAATCCAGTGTACACAGACTAGATTGCATTAATATCAGATACCCGACTGACAATCACAGTATAGTACCAGTGTAACGGTAGGCAATACTTTATTCCACATAATTACAAACAGTCATTCTCGGTGAGTCCTGAATAGAATCAATAAGAGGAAAGGAAATCAAATTCAGTAATCAGTAAGCTGCATGCCTGTCTGGCTGGTCACATTTGCGCTACCACACGTCAGGTGTTATTATTTCATCCCTCTCTACACATTTACAAAACACTACTCACAATGCACCACTTCGTGTTCTGTAATCCTGAAGTTAAAACAATGTTGTTGAATCTTTCGTTTATTTTTATTGATGCCTATATTTCGCCTAAAAATAGTTTCTTTTACGGTTCAGTAGTTCAATATTTGATTCATACCACAGTTTATATATATATCCCGCAATCTAAACATCTATTTATATAATTCTACATACATACAATAATCATTCAAATGGAGTCTTTGTTGTCTTCATATTACTTTGTCTACCACATTATGTTTACACTTACATTTTAAAATTGAAATAACTTATCGATTACTAATGTTTTATGTAATGATTGTTGCCATAACTTTTCTAGTATGCATTACTAGTTGGTACTAAGCAAACTGATAGAATATTCTGTCTCTCTTATTATGCATGGCTAATCATTACATAGTAGTATATCTATAATCCATTTTTCTCATATCAGTTGGTAATTTATAAACCCTTAATGTAACAATTCATTTGTTCTGGAACATTGTTTTATAATTATTTTTAGTTACTTTTCAGGTAAACTTACAAATAGAATATTCTTTTTGCTGATTAAGAAAATTTTAATCTTTCCTTCTCTTTTTTCTTCAATTTAGGGCATCACTTATAAAGATTTTTCTGATTTCAGTCATTTACTTCGATCTATTGCTGATGTGGATACAGCTTTAACATTTTATCATATGGCTGGTGCATCAATTGATCAAGATACTTTAAATCATGTTGCTTTAACTGTAGCCAACCTTCACTTGTCACCACATGTTTTAGATGTGGTTTTCACTTTATTCGATGAGAATAGTAAGTTAATGAATTCTGTGTTTATGTTGTTTAATTTGTTTGTTAGACTATTAACAATACATAGAGTATTTTACTGGTAGCGAGATAGTATGTTTATTCAAATTGAAATCAGTAGTTTATGGGTGTATATACAACTGTTTATCAACTAATGATGTGTGATTTTTCCTGAGTCTGTATTCTAGACATCCTAGAAGTTTTTTGTGACAGTATTTAACGAGTTTCCTAGCGTTCAATTGTCTTATTACAATGTTCTTTTTGAATCTCACTTTCCTAGTCGTTAAGGTTGTACTACAAGTTATATTATTCATACTTTACTTTAGAAGGCTTTGTGCACCTTCTTTTCTATCTACGTTGCTCATATTATTCCCAATTCTAAAGATTGTTTGGACTTTTTATGTTAGTGAATTCTCAGTGCTAGATGGTTTAATAGTGAGGCTTTCATTGTCGTTCTGGAGAATGTCGCGATTGCTCACTTCATGCAGAAGTAATCTTTTTAATTATACTCCACAAGACGTAAATCAGTTTGTTACAATGGCCTAGGTTATTATTATTATTGGTTGTCTTCATAAATTTCATTACACACACTTATCCTTGTGTATTTAAGTTGACTGTCTTATTTTGTTGACCTCTAACCATGTTGTTAACCAACCTATCTCCAACGGGTTGATAGATTAGGTCTAAGAAGAAATTGTCCATTGATTACTAATGAAACTGAATGCTTTGCTTTCATAAATGCCAAGTCACTTTTAAGGATTCTTTTGACCCATGAATTTGATGTTTCACAATTTGAATTAATAATTGTTTACATGCATTGATATTTATTGATAACATACATCCTTCTTTTTTTGCATTTCTTTCATAGTGCTTGTTGGTTTATGCGTAACTGAGGAGGGCATTCATTTTGTTTAATATAATGTTTATCGCAGTTGATTCAATTTATTTACAAATTATGTTCCATTTGTTTTCGCATTGTTGTGTCTTGTTGTCTGTATCAAATAGAGTGAATTAGTGATTGATCAATATTGATTACAAAAGACTTAAAAATCCTTGTATAAATCTTCTTCATTTTTTAAATCTGTATGAATAACTTTCATGGTTATTGCGAAACTATATATTTCTTTAGGAATAAAAGTTCTCTTCATACTAATGTGTACAGTTATTTTCATTGGTTTTTTATTCTCTTATTCTCACTGATTGTTTTAGATGATGGACAATTAAGTTATCGTGAATTTGTCGGTGTTATGCGACATAGACTTTTACGTGGTTTGGATAAACCGATGGATACAGGTTTTATTCGATTACTTAATGCTTTGCTCCATTGTACTAAAGAACAAATCATTCTTGGAGTTAATTCTGCTTATAATAAAGATGTTTGAAAAGTTAACTATACCATGACTGTGAGGATGGATTTATAGTTATATATGAATAAAAAGAATTTTATGTGGGACAATGTATCTACTATCTATTTCTCCTGCTCATATGGAATAAATCATGCTTCATACATTTTAATTACACTGGAATATCTTGTATCGTATATGTGTGTATACGTTATTTCACATGTTCACATCCTTATACACACTGTTGTTATACTGCATTAATTTCAAAAAAAATAAAATGCTTAATAATAATAATAATAGTTTTGTTTTTCTCCAATTTTCATTTCTATGATTACATATTATTCTTTGTTTTCGTCTGAATGTGTATTTTTTTTTCGATCATGTGACGTGTTCTTTTGACCTAATAAATCCTGTTGGATTTTCATTATCGCTAATACTTCTACTACATCTATCTACCACTATGAAAGTTGAAATGACAATGGCGGCTCTGTGCAAATGTGAATGTCACTTTCAACTGACGTACCTACGTACGAAGCTTTACGTTGTAACTGACTGACTGACTGATTTCAAGCAAAAAAGTGTCATTCATTCGTAACAGCTTATTATTTTCATCATAATCAAGGCAACCCATTACATAATTTAACATGCTACTTAATATTTATATCATCATGATGAAGCTCTAGTCTGAACAATTCATCTGAAATGTTAATTACTTGCAATAACAACTTTGATGAGCACACTAATTAAATGCATAATGAAAGTTATGTATAAAGTTATCAAGTAAAGAAGTTGATGTGTCTACATAAACCCATTCAAATCGCCTAGTTTCTAATGGTAGCTGTAAAATGTAAATATGTTCCATTTACCTGAAAATAATCTTTGTTGTCACCACTACATGTATTTTAATTTTTCAAGCTCAAATCCTTATGTATTAGGTGACTCACTGTTACATTTTAGATTCATTTTTGTTAAAACCTGTTAGAAATGTCTACTCGGAGACTCAAGAGGGCCATATTTGTTCTCAGAGACTCTAACTATGATTTTAGACCGTGCCACTTAATTTTTTTTTAAAACTTAGATTGACCGATTGCACTACCATATCTACTATATCTTACTACAGCTTTAAGGTATTTGGTTTGAAGTTTCTCAAAGCTTCACATACCTTCTTATTGATTATCGGAGACGAGTCTACTGAATTTATTAGTATTTCAATCGATTACGAATAAGACAGTATGAGATTAGATACCCTGTTGGCATATTGATCGGTTAAGTTGTCTAGTTACGTTGTCGGTTATATTGTTAGGTAATTTAATGTACCGATCAATGACTATGCTTAATGGCTATTTATCTACCATTTTCTACGTCTCCTTTTCTCGTCATAATATGTTTCACGACATTCCAAATATTTTTTTACTGAAAGAATTCACATATAATAATTTCTTTTCGTTGTGGTTGTTTTTTTCAGTAAGGAATGGCTCCAAGAAGTTTTCGTTGGTCGAAACGAGAATGTTTATCACCTGATAATGAAACAGTCAATTTAGTCGCCCTTGTATTTGAAGATTCTGAATTGTTCGAAGCAGAAGCAGCTGAATTAAGTGTTGATGAATCAGACGACTCTTTTTCTTTGCTTATACGTAATGATAGTTTATTCAGTGAAATCAATTTAGAAGAATACAATACATTACCTAGAAGTCATCATTCAAATTTATCTGCGCATAGTTTAGCAACAACTTCAATTGTAACACCAACTCATCATGCGCAAACAATAGAATTTAATTTAATCTCTAACTCACAGTTTGAACCATCTGAATTGAATTCCGATTGTCATAAATCGCATGCTTCTTCAATTTCTTCTATTGATATTGGTCGAATTCGCGATTTCCTTTCTACATTGCCTGTTCATGTTCTATGTACCAGTACCAGTCATCTTAGTGTGCCTAGGTAATGCTTTTTTTGTGTTTAATTTATTAGTTAAAAAAATAGCTCGAATTTATCTCTTTAAACTCGGTTTGATTTCACTTTTAAGGCTAGACAACTGTGAAGTTGAGCACTCATATTTCTAACTAGTTTTAAGAGTATTGGTTTTTGATGTGTTTATTTTATTTGTTCGAAAAGATATATAGATTTTTGAATTGGATTAAAGCCCGTGTAACTGGGTTGTTATTATGAGAACAGTTGTTTTATCTAGTTTAATTATCACTTTCCACACCTATATTGCCTGTCTTTTAATCAAACGAAAAGTTGGATTGATTCTTCATTTGTATTGGTGGTTCGATTCTCACCATTGATGTTTAGGACTGCAACTGAACCATCTCTTTGGCATATATGCATCCTGCGCAGATTCCCTCGATATTGTCTTTAGATTAAAAGCATTACCAGCAGAGATGGATAGCTAAGGGGATAACGCTATGCCGTCTGAGGCGTAATGTACTAGATTAGAGTATCGGAACTAACATCGGCTCCGCAATGCAGGTGCATCTACCCGACAAGTTCCAAATAGGACGAAATATGCGTCCTGGACTCTATTGCTTGTCACTATCCGCCTCTCCTTATTATCCGTTGGATTTGTTCTGAAAGTTTAACTTCGTTCAAATCCTCTTCAATATGCTAGCATGCATCCTGATGATCTTTGTTGTTCCTTCCGTTGTGATTTAAAGTCAAATCCTTTAGTTAAAATATCTCAAGTATTTTTCATTAAATTGCCTTCTCTATTGGATTGCTTCATCTTCAATTTTTTAGTGGTTGTTTGCAAATCTTAATATTGACAGTTGTTAATCAATGTATATTCACAGAAAATATAATCTATCTCAATTCTCGTTTTATATTCTTTCTAAATTTATCACTTGTATGTCCCCACCTTCAAAATATGTTGGCATATTATTAGTTTGTGTGAGCATTCAGTGTTTTTTATTCTTTACAGAATAGTAATAAATATTGATTTGTGTGGTGTTTTCTGTTGTACCAGCATAATTTTGACATGCATTGGTGATTAGTTTGTAACTAATAAATATTTTATTAACTTTTGTTAGTTGCTCTTCAGACATACTTTTTAACAAAGTTGTATAGATTTTCATATTACTAGTTGATGTTTTAGTGTTTGGTTAACTGGCTTGGATCTTACCTTGATGTCTTGTCTTGAACAACCGATAAATAATATCAATAACCCTAGTCTTCGATCATCGGTGTCTCCGAAGCATTGCTCGTGTATCCGGGGACAAACCGTATAAGCAATGCTGTCGTTAGGAAACGAGTTCTAGGTAAGGATGGCAAATCAGCAGATGAAGTATTGAAACTTCATCAGTTGAGGTGGTTGAGACATGTGTTACGAATGCCTCGACGAGCTATGCTTTGTGGTGTAAGAGTAAGTTGAAAGCTAGGGGCGGCCAAACCAAAACATGGCACAAATCCATGAAGTCACATTGAGTCATGTCGGTAGATGTAGGCTACCTGGTTGGGTTCCGCGAGACGAAAGTCACTGATGGTTAGAGACCTTGAACGACATGGCTCAAAATCGTTTGCATTGGCTCAGGTGCATCCACTCTTTGTGTTTTCTCTAATGCTAACCTTCTGAATTCCTCATAATCTCTATCTTTGTCCTTCTGAATTTATTTCACTGAATTATACTTCTCGAATCATATCTTCGAACCCTAATCTTCTTCATTACTGCTAATACTTCCACTATCGCTATCACTGTCGGGTTTGAATTGACAGTTGCGTCTATGTGCTGATGTGGTATTGCAACATGAACTGATGTACTTATGTACGAAGTTCTGCGTTGTGTCTGTCTGTCTATCTGTCTTAATTTGAAATAAATATAAAACAGTGTTTTAGTGATTGACCCTTCAGTTTCAATGTTATTCACAAGTTCAGTCATAAAAGGTTCCAGTTGATTATTCTAACACTTATATAGTTTTTTCTATTAACGTTGGAGGAATGAATTTTGTTTTCTGTTTTTCTCATACAGTTCATCTTCTTCATGGCCGTGGCATTTACTTGCTTACACTGATTTTCCAGCTTTTATGCATGCTATCACTTCTGATCTAAACTGTTTTTGGAATTTATTCAATGGAACTACTAGTAAACGTTCACACTTAATTGATGTTCTACCATGTGATTTAGCGTATAATTTGACAACTTGCAATTTAACATGTTGTCAAGCTGAAGTTGAGCTAGTACAACGTAATGATACATTGATTCAAACTAATTATCAAACAAAAGCTTTAGATCCATCAACGTCAACATCTACAAATGAAAAAGACAATGCTGCAATAAGTACTTCTAAATATTTTCACACTAGTCATAAGGTAAGTATGCTGTATGAATGTTTTCTGTTTAATCAATTTGTTTGTGTTTGAACTGTATTTAAATAAAACAAAGATACATATTAAAACGTCCACTTTTTATCAGCATTGTTGAGACAGTTAGCTGAGTCAATATTTGACCTGTTATTTTTGTACTATGATTAACTAACTTTATAATTAAAATTAACTAACTATAGTTGGGGTTGTTTTTCACTGCCCAAACTCACATAAACTAACATTAAACAATTGCAAACAATAAACCTTTGTTTTAGTGTAGTTTCAGGAACCTTCACAATAAAATTTTAAAAACAATCTGGATTATAGTTTTCTCTTAAAATTTATTTCCCTAAAAATGAATAGATAAAGCTTCAGAAATAATAATTTGTAAATTTCTTCTGATGTAACGTGGTACAGGGAAATTTCCGTTTGATTATGATTATATTGTTTTTTACAGTGTGTAGTGCATGTTAGCATAAAATAGAAAGGTTTGTTGTGGTCAAACGTGAATTAATGTAAATCATTTCATTCGATCATGTGTACACCACCATTAATCATAATTGTACCAGCGAAATAACATGTGATACCGTTGATTGTAGAATAAAGTATACAGCCCAGAAATAGAAAATAATAGTGTTTTCATGAAAAGTACACCTGAAGTGATTACTATAAATAATATTGTTTTCAGTTTGATCTTCAGGCTTTGCTTTGGTACACATTATTATATATATATATATATATATATATATATATATATATATATATACCATGCAATTATAACACTGAAATAGATTACACACCTAAACATATTAGACAAAAAATATAAATTGGTAGGTGTACTAGGTGTGTCAAGTACAGCAGTCTGAACAAATATTGTGAAATTCGTGGTTTTAAATATATTGCTTATCAGTAATCAGATTTCATTTCCCTTTCTTGTATCTCATTATTGAAATTAATTATCGACACACTGAACTAGTCACTTTTACATTGGATTGCCTCACAATTGACTGTGATTGTTGTCTCGTCATTTTGGATGTAAGCTTAAGTTTGACTGATCATTATTTATCGTAAAAGCAAATGTATTACTCATAGATACTTACATAAAAATATTTCTGAATAACCCAGACACTTCTAACCTAAATTGACCTTGAGTGCTTTGTTCAATATGCACTAACAGCAACATTACGATGAAATGCCAGAATTACCCGTACAGTCTGAGAAAGAAGATTTCTATACTGAACACCAGATGAGCCTTAATGCAAAACAATTAGAATTGAACTTAATCAAGTCTAAGAAGAGGGGAACTTGATAAGCTGGTCTTGTTAGCAAGATTTCAATAAAAGAGAAAGAATCCTTACTTCTATGATGATGGTGTAATTAGGAAACACAATCAACCAGGCCGTCTCGAACGTTAATGACAGCTACCTAAACTTGAAGTACAGAAATTTAATGACAATCAAAAAGAGGATTGAATCTTCATCAAAAAAATTCCAGAAAGTTGTTGACAAAATCATGAAGGATGATTTTAAGTGGCCTAACTGTCTAATCCAACTTTTTACTGGGATGGCTAGGGTGGTTATTAAGCATTGTATCATAATGGATGGATCTAGAGGGTTTACGTAATCTAAAGATATTCTAAGAAAACAGTTTGAACAAAATCATTAAGTTGTTCGATCCTTCATAGACGAAGTAGTAGACAGACCATCTAGGATAGAAAATGCTAACCAGTTCCCTGGCTAGTATGGAGCACTGCATGCAACGGGAATAGAAAAGGGAATGAACACAACTAGAGATAAAAAATTATTTCGCTTTTATCTAAAAGCCAACTATGTGGCTAGAAGCTGTCAACTCCAAAAACGGTTTACTATCGAAGAATGTGGTAGGCAACATCATACATTTTTACATGTAACTAGTAACGTTCTTCAATCTGATGTTGATGTAGGTAAATTTCCGGGATATCGATTTATGACTAAAGAAACAGCAGCAACGGAAGAGCCGGTGATACATGTTTTCATCTAGCGTATTCTGATGTTCAAATATCTCAAGGTTCTTATTGAGGTTTGAGGAGTGAAGGTAATTTAGCTTCATTTGTTTTTTTGGTTGCGAACCAATTGGCCATATTAGCGTCCAATCGGAAATAGTTCTTAAGACATAAGGTGTGCCTGGGTTTAATGTTTTTCGTCCGAAAATTTTCTTAGGCTTCAAAAAAATCACACAATTAGGAATCCGACCCTTTCATCCTTATGTTTTGTTAGCCTTACATCCTTCTAGTAACATCAGTATTGAAGCTGTTCGACATCACGTTCTGCACGTCTTACAGTTGACAAGGCTTTCACTGCTACTTTTGGCTGTTCCGTTGCTACTGTCTCGTTAGTCACAAGTCAATATCCCGAAATCACTAATTGTTTCGTAAAGAAAATCTGTTAAAATATTTCGTGCTGAGAATTCTACGTTGTACTAAACGTATATTATTACATAAAGCTATTATTATTATTATTATAACACTGACATATGGGTATTTCCCCATAATTCTTGATATAAAATATTAAACTGCTATCAACAGTTACATTCCTCAGTACTTCATAGCGTTAACAGATTCAAAGGAATTTTAATACCTGAACAATGGATTTAAACCATTTTCAAAATTTTATATTTTTATGTTTCCAGTCGATCCCACTATTCTATGATCGAGACCAACTAAAACTCAGTGATGAAGTGAATATTGTCTTATTTCCACTCTCCGGTCTTCATCCAAATCTGTTAAGAGATAGTCAGTTATGCCATTCCGCGTTTACAGCTGTCTACTTACTCCTTGTTAATGATGATTCCGAACCGGAAATGAATACCAGTGAGAAGACAAACTTAAATCACCTTAAAAATGCCAAATTATCCTGTGATTGTGACGCAAATGATCATCTACACAATACACCTATCGTTCTTGCTGTTCTAGTTCAAATTTTACCATCGCACCAGCTTACTTTTCCAATTACAGTCAACCATAAATTTTGTCCTATCCCCATGACATCTGATTTAAAACTATTTAATGGCCAAAAATTTTCTGCTCTCTTGGCTGTGGTCGATTTATTAGTCAGTAAAAATGGTAGGTTGTTCATTTATGTATTTCACTTATTGTCTAACTTGCTGTTACGTATGTACATAAACACGTCAATTTGATGTGCTTCAACCATTACAAGTTTACCTTAGTCGGAAAACGAGAACGAGGTTCGAGTATCTGGTGACACGACATGCCACGCTAATCCGAGTGTCCTAACCACCCATTGAGTAAAGAAGATATGAAGTAGGACCTATATTCTACAAGCATCCAGAAAGTACGGAGGTGCGAGTCCAGAAGAGAATCAGGATCCTGGACTAGGGACCTGAGTCCGGATCCTGATCATAAAACGTTGCAGATATTGCGTATTTATGCAGTTAGGACGACCAATGGGAAACAACATTGAATTACGTGACATTGATATCCAGGATAACCATAATATTAACCAGTAGGAATTAACCAATAGAACTGGACTTACAAATAATTCTCTTAGGATATTGATGAATATCCTATCACTTGCTTTCTTGTACGTTGAATTATGTCCTAACTCCACTTTCCAATTCCATTAAAATCAACTCCCATTTTTGTAGGTATCATACACTATCCCATATGGTTATTGATCAGAGATTCACCGTTGAAAATGTTCATATAACTATACTTTAATCGTAACTTAGATCATTCATAGAAAGTTTCTTTCAAGTTATTTTAGTATTTCTGAAAGCCACTTGTCTTTGAGAACAGATATTCCAGTGCAAAATATACGCAATTTAACATCGCTCAACTAAAAAACATCTGTAGATAAAGCTCTTTTTCTTCCTACTTACACTTTTAGACTTCACAATAAAAATGGCATCACATTTTGTAACAATGGCTATTAAAGCTAATATTACAAAGAATACGAAATTATAGAATTCAATTTCTTATTTAGTAGATTCTGCTTATGACTTAGCAGGTGGGTAGAGAGCTAATCTCCTAATATGTTGTTGTTTAATCAGATTTTTTGAATTGAATTCGGGCTAATTATAGCCCGAATTCAATTCAAAAAATCTGATTAAACAACAAACATATAAGGAGATTAGCTCTCTACCCACCTGCTAAGTCATAAGCAGAATCTACTAAATAAGAAATTGAATTCTATAATTTCGTATTCTTTGTAATATTAGCTTTAATAGCCATTGTTACAAAATGTGATGCCATTTTTATTGTGAAGTCTAAAAGTGTAAGTAGGAAGAAAAAGAGCTTTATCTACAGATGTTTTTTAGTTGAGCGATGTTAAATTGCGTATATTTTGCACTGGAATATCTGTTCTCAAAGACAAGTGGCTTTCAGAAATACTAAAATAACTTGAAAGAAACTTTCTATGAATGATCTAAGTTACGATTAAAGTATAGTTATATGAACATTTTCAACGGTGAATCTCTGATCAATAACCATATGGGATAGTGTATGATACCTACAAAAATGGGAGTTGATTTTAATGGAATTGGAAAGTGGAGTTAGGACATAATTCAACGTACAAGAAAGCAAGTGATAGGATATTCATCCAATATCCTAAGAGAATTATTTGTAAGTCCAGTTCTATTGGTTAATTCCTACTGGTTAATATTATGGTTGTCCTAGATATCAATGTCACGTAATTCAATGTTGTTTCCCATTGGTCGTCCTAACTGCATAAATACGCAATATCTGCAACGTTTTATGACCAGGATCCGGACTCAGGTCCCTAGTCCAGGATCCTGATTCTCTTCTGGACTCGCACCTCGTACTTTCTGGATGCTTGTAGAATATAGGTCCTACTTCATATCTTCTTTTACTCAATGGGTGGTTAGGACACTCGGATTAGCGTGGCATGTCGTGTCACCAGATACTCGAACCTCGTTCTCGTTTTCCGACTAAGGTAAACTTGTAATGGTTGAAGCACATCAAATTGACGTGTTTATGTACATACGTAACAGCAAGTTAGACAATAAGTGAAATACATAAATGAACAACCTACCATTTTTACTGACTAATAAATCGACCACAGCCAAGAGAGCAGAAAATTTTTGGCCATTAAATAGTTTTAAATCAGATGTCATGGGGATAGGACAAAATTTATGGTTGACTGTAATTGGAAAAGTAAGCTGGTGCGATGGTAAAATTTGAACTAGAACAGCAAGAACGATAGGTGTATTGTGTAGATGATCATTTGCGTCACAATCACAGGATAATTTGGCATTTTTAAGGTGATTTAAGTTTGTCTTCTCACTGGTATTCATTTCCGGTTCGGAATCATCATTAACAAGGAGTAAGTAGACAGCTGTAAACGCGGAATGGCATAACTGACTATCTCTTAACAGATTTGGATGAAGACCGGAGAGTGGAAATAAGACAATATTCACTTCATCACTGAGTTTTAGTTGGTCTCGATCATAGAATAGTGGGATCGACTGGAAACATAAAAATATAAAATTTTGAAAATGGTTTAAATCCATTGTTCAGGTATTAAAATTCCTTTGAATCTGTTAACGCTATGAAGTACTGAGGAATGTAACGGTTGATAGCAGTTAATATTTTATATCAAGAATTATGGGGAAATACCCATATGTCAGTGTTATAATAATAATAATAATAGCTTTATGTAATAATATACGTTTAGTACAACGTAGAATTCTCAGCACGAAATATTTTAACAGATTTTCTTTACGAAACAATTAGTGATTTCGGGATATTGACTTGTGACTAACGAGACAGTAGCAACGGAACAGCCAAAAGTAGCAGTGAAAGCCTTGTCAACTGTAAGACGTGCAGAACGTGATGTCGAACAGCTTCAATACTGATGTTACTAGAAGGATGTAAGGCTAACAAAACATAAGGATGAAAGGGTCGGATTCCTAATTGTGTGATTTTTTTGAAGCCTAAGAAAATTTTCGGACGAAAAACATTAAACCCAGGCACACCTTATGTCTTAAGAACTATTTCCGATTGGACGCTAATATGGCCAATTGGTACACAACCAAAAAAACAAATGAAGCTAAATTACCTTCACTCCTCAAACCTCAATAAGAACCTTGAGATATTTGAACATCAGAATACGCTAGATGAAAACATGTATCACCGGCTCTTCCGTTGCTGCTGTTTCTTTAGTCATAAATCGATATCCCGGAAATTTACCTACATCAACATCAGATTGAAGAACGTTACTAGTTACATGTAAAAATGTATGATGTTGCCTACCACATTCTTCGATAGTAAACCGTTTTTGGAGTTGACAGCTTCTAGCCACATAGTTGGCTTTTAGATAAAAGCGAAATAATTTTTTATCTCTAGTTGTGTTCATTCCCTTTTCTATTCCCGTTGCATGCAGTGCTCCATACTAGCCAGGGAACTGGTTAGCATTTTCTATCCTAGATGGTCTGTCTACTACTTCGTCTATGAAGGATCGAACAACTTAATGATTTTGTTCAAACTGTTTTCTTAGAATATCTTTAGATAACGTAAACCCTCTAGATCCATCTATTATGATACAATGCTTAATAACCACCCTAGCCATCCCAGTAAAAAGTTGGATTAGACAGTTAGGCCACTTAAAATCATCCTTCATGATTTTGTCAACAACTTTCTGGAATTTTTTTGATGAAGATTCAATCCTCTTTTTGACTGTCATTAAATTTCTGTACTTCAAGTTTAGGTAGCTGTCATTAACGTTCGAGACGGCCTGGTTGATCATGTTTCCTAATTACACCATCATCATAGAAGTAAGGATTCTTTCTCTTTTATTGAAATCTTGCTAACAAGACCAGCTTATCAAGTTCCCCTCTTCTTAGACTTGATTAAGTTCAATTCTAATTGTTTTGCATTAAGGTTCATCTGGTGTTCAGTATAGAAATCTTCTTTCTCAGACTGTACGGGTAATTCTGGCATTTCATCGTAATGTTGCTGTTAGTGCATATTGAACAAAGCACTCAAAGTCAATTTAGGTTAGAAGAGTGTCTGGGTTATTCAGAAATATTTTTATGTAAGTATCTATGAGTAATATATTTGCTTTTACAATAAATAATGATCAGTCAAACTTAAGCTTAGATCCAAAATGACGAGACAACAATCACAGTCAATTGTGAGGCAATCCAATGTAAAAGTGACTAGTTCAGTGTGTCGATAATTAATTTCAATAATGGGATACAAGAAAGGGAAATGAAATCTGATTACTGATAAGCAATATAGTTAAAACCACAAATTTCACAATATTTGTTCAGACTGTTGTACTTGACACACCTAGTACACCTACCAATTTATATTTTTTGTCTAATATGTTTAGGTGTGTAATCTATTTCAGCGTTATAATTGCATGATATATATATATATATATATATATATATATATATATATATATATTACTGTGTATCAAAGCAAAGCCTGAAGATCAAACTGAAAACAATATTATTTATAGTAATCACTTCAGGTGTACTTTTCGTGAAAACACTATTATTTTCTATTTCTGGGCTGTATACTTTATTCTACAATCAACGGTATCACATGTTATTTCGCTGGTACAATTATGATTAATGGTGGTGTACACATGATCGAATGAAATGATTTACATTAATTCACGTTTGACCACAACAAACCGTTCTATTTTATGCTAACATGCACTACACACTGTAAAAAACAATATAATCATAATCAAACGGAAATTTCCCTGTACCACGTTACATCAGAAGAAATTTACAAATTATTATTTCTGAAGCTTTATCTATTCATTTTTAGGGAAATAAATTTTAAGAGAAAACTATAATCCAAATTGTTTTTAAAATTTTATTGTGAAGGTTCCTGAAACCACACTAAAACAAAGGTTTATTGTTTTCAATTGTTTAATGTTAGTTTATGTGGGTTTCGGCAGTGAAAAACAACCCCAACTATAGTTAGTTAAATTTAATTATAAAGTTAGTTATTCATGGTACAAAATAACAGGTCAAATATTGACTCAGCTAACTGTCTCAACAATGCTGATAAAAAGTGGACGTTTTAATATGTATCTTTGTTTTCTTTAAATACAATTCAAATACAAACAAATTGATTAAACAGAAAACATTAATACAGCATACTTACCTTATGACTAGTGTGAAGATATTTAGAAGTACTTATTGCAACATTGTCTTTTACATTTGTAGATGTTGACGTTGATGGATCTAAACCTTTTGTTTGATAATTAGTTTGAATCAATGTATCATTACGTTGTACTAGTTCAACTTCAGCTTGACAACATGTTAAATTGCATGTTGTCAAATTATACGCTAAATCACATGGTAGAACATCAATTAAGTGTGAACGTTTACTAGTAGTTCCATTGAATAAATTCCAAAAACAGTTTAGATCAGAAGTAATTGCATGCACAAAAGCTGGAAAATCAGTGTAAGCAAGTAAATGCCACGGCCATGAAGAAGATGAACTGTATGAGAAAAACAGAAAACAAAATTCATCCGTCCAACGTTAATAAAAAAACTATATAAGTGTTAGAATAATCAACTGGAACCTTTTATGACTGAAATTGTGAATAACATTGAAACTGAAGGGTCGATCACTAAAACACTGTTTTATATTTATTTCAAATTAAGACAGATAGACAGACAGATACAACGCAGAACTTCGTACATAAGTACATCAGTTCATGTTGCAATACCACATCAGCACATAGACGCAACTGTCAATTCAAACCCGACAGTGATAGCGATAGTGGAAGTATTAGCAGTAATGAAGAAGATTAGGGTTCGAAGATATGATTCGAGAAGTATAATTCAGTGAAATAAATTCAGAAGGACAAAGATAGAGATTATGAAGAATTCAGAAGGTTAGCATTAGAGAAAACACAAAGAGTGGATGCACCTGAGCCAATGCAAACGATTTTGAGCCATGTCGTTCAAGATCTCTAACCATTGGTGACTTTCGTCTCGCGGAACCCAACCAGGTAGCCTACATCTACCGACATGACTCAATACACTCGTCAGTGACTTCATGGATTTGTGCCATGTTTTGGTTTGGCCGCCCCTAGCTTTCAACTTACTCTTACACCACAAAGCATAGCTCGTCGAGGCATTCATAACACATGTCTCAACCACCTCAACTGATGAAGTTTCAATACTTCATCTGCTGATTTGCCATCCTTATCTAGAACTCGTTTTCTAACGACAGCATTGCTTATACGGTTTGTCCCCGGATACACGAGCAATGCTTCGGAGACACCGATGATCGAAAACTAGGGTTATTGATATTATTTATCGGTTGTTCAAAACAAGACATCAAGGTAAGATCCAAGCCGGTTAACTAAATACTAAAACATCAACTAGTAATATGAAAATCTATACAACTTTGTTAAAAATTATGTCTAAAGAACAACTAACAAAAGTTAATAAAATATTTATTAGTTACAAACTAATCACCAATGCATGTCAAAATTATACTGTACAACAGAAAACACCACACAAATCAATATTTATTACTATTCTGTAAAGAATAAAAAAACACTGAATGCTCACACAAACTAATAATATGCCAACATATTTTGAAGGTGGGGACACACAAGTGATAAATTTAGAAAGAATATAAAACGAGAATTGAGATAGATTATATTTTTTGTGAATATACATTGATTAACAACTGTCAATATTAAGATTTGCAAACAACCACTAAAAAATTGAACAAGATGAAGCAATCGAATAGAGAAGGCAATTTAATGAAAAATACTTGAGATATTTTAACTAAAGGATTTGACTTTAAATCACAACGGAAGGAACAACAAAGATCATCAGGATGCATGCTAGCATATTGAAGAGGATTTGAACGAAGTTAAACTTTCAGAACAAATCCAACGGATAATAAGGAGAGGCGGATAGTGACAAGCAATAGAGTCCAGGACGCATATTTCGTCCTATTTGGAACTTGTCGGGTAGATGCACCTGCATTGCGGAGCCGATGTTAGTTCCGGTACTCTAATCTAGTACATTACGCCTCAGACGGCATAGCGTTATCCTCTTAGCTATCCATCTCTGCTGGTAATGCTTTTAATCTAAAGACAATATCGAGGAAATCTGCGCAGGATGCATATATGCCAAAGAGATGGTTCAGTTGCAGTCCTAAACATCAATGGTGAGAATCGAACCACCAATACAAATGAAGAATCAATCCAACTTTTCGTTTGATTAAAAGACAGGCAATATAGGTGTGGAAAGTGATAATTAAACTAGATAAAACAACTGTTCTCATAATAACAACCCAGTTACACGGGCTTTAATCCAATTCAAAAATCTATATTTCTTTTCGAACAAATAAAATAAACACATCAAAAACCAATATTCTTAAAACTAGTTAGAAATATGAGTGCACAACTTCACAGTTGTCTAGCCTTAAAAGTGAAATCAAACCGAGTTTAAAGAGATAAATTCGAGCTACTTTTTAACTAATAAATTAAACACAAAAAAAGCATTACCTAGGCACACTAAGATGACTGGTACTGGTACATAGAACATGAACAGGCAATGTAGAAAGGAAATCGCGAATTCGACCAATATCAATAGAAGAAATTGAAGAAGAATGCGATTTATGACAATTGGAATTCAATTCAGATGATTCAAACTGTGAATTAGAGATTAAATTAAATTCTATTGTTTGCGCATGATGAGTTGGTGTTACAATTGAAGTTGTTGCTAAACTATGCGCAGATAAATTTGAATGATGACTTCTAGGTAATGTATTGTATTCTTCTAAATTGATTTCACTGAATAAACTATCATTACGAATAAGCAAAGAAAACGAGTCGTCTGATTCATCAACACTTAATTCAGCTGCTTCTGCTTCGAACAATTCAGAATCTTCAAATACAAGGGCGACTAAATTGACTGTTTCATTATCAGGTGATAAACATTCTCGTTTCGACCAACGAAAACTTCTTGGAGCCATTCCTTACTAAAAAAAACAACCACAACGAAAAGAAATTATTATATGTGAATTCTTTCAGTAAAAAAATATTTGGAATGTCGTGAAACATATTATGACGAGAAAAGGAGACGTAGAAAATGGTAGATAAATAGCCATTAAGCATAGTCATTTATCAGTACGTAAAATTACCTAACAATATAACCGACAACGTAACTAGACAACTATTCAAAGAGGAACTTAACCGATCAATATGCCAACAGGGTATCTAATCTCATACTGTCTTATTCGTAATCGATTGAAATACTAATAAATTCAGTAGACTCGTCTCCGATAATCAATAAGAAGGTATGTGAAGCTTTGAGAAACTTCAAACCAAATACCTTAAAGCTGTAGTAAGATATAGTAGATATGGCAGTGCAATCGGTCAATCTAAGTTTTAAAAAAAAATTAAGTGGCACGGTCTAAAATCATAGCTAGAGTCTCTGAGAACAAATATGCCCCTCTTGAGTCTCTGAGTAAACATTTCTAACAGGTTTTAACAAAAATGAATCTAAAATGTAACAGTGAGTCACCTAATACATAAGGATTTGAGCTTGAAAAATTAAAATACATGTAGTGGTGACAACAAAGATTATTTTCAGGTACATGGAACATATTTACATTTTACAGCAACCATTAGAAACTAGGCGATTTGAATGGGTTTATGTAGACACATCAACTTCTTTCCTTGATAACTTTATACATAACTTTCATTATGCATTTAATTAGTGTGCTCATCAAAGTTGTTATTGCAAGTAATTGACATTTCAGATGAATTGTTCAGAGTAGAACTTCATCATGATGAAATAAATATTAAGTAGCATGTTAAATTATGTAATGGGTTGCCTTGATTATGATGAAAATAATAATCTGTTACGAATGAATGACACTTTTTTACTTGAAATCAGTCAGTCAGTCAGTTACAACGTAAAGCTTCGTACGTAGGTACGTCAGTTGAAAGTGACATTCACATTTGCACAGAGCAGCCATTGTCATTTCAACTTTCATAGTGGTAGATAGATGTAGTAGAAGTAATAGCAATAATGAAAATCCAACAGGATTTATTAGGTCAAAAGAACACATCACATGATCGAAAAAAATACACATTCAGACGAAAACAAAGAATAATATGTAATCATAGAAATGAAAATTGGAGAAAAACAAAACTATTATTATTATTATTAAGCATTTTATTTTTTTTGAAATTAATGCAGTATAACAACAGCAGTGTGTATAAGGATGTGAACATGTGAAATAACGTATACACACATATACGATACAAGATATTCCAGTATAATTAAAATGTATGAAGCATGATTTATTCCATATGAGCAGGAGAAATAGATAGTAGATACATTGTCCTACATAAAATTCTTTTTATCCACATATAACAACTATAAATCCATCCTCACAGTCATGATATAGTCAACTTTTCAATCTTTATTATAAGCAGAATTAACTCCAAGAATGATTTGTTCTTTCGTACAATGGAACAAAGCATTAAGTAATCGAATAAAACCTGTATCCATCGGTTTATCCAAACCACGTAAAAGTCTATGTCGCATAACACCGACAAATTCACGATAACTTAATTGTCCATCATCTAAAACAATCAGTGAGAATAAGAGAATAAAAAATCTATGAAAATAACTGTACACATTAGTATGAAGAGAACTTTTATTCCTAAAGAAATATATAGTTTCGCAATAACCATGAAAGTTATTCATACAGATTTAAAAGATGAAGAAGATTTAGACAATGATCTTTGGTAATGTCTTTTGTAATCAATATTGATCAATCACTAATTCACTCTATTTGATACAGACAACAAGACATAACAATGCGAAAACAAATGGGACATAATTTGTATATAAATTGAATCAACTGCAATAAACATTATATTAAACAAAATGGATGCCCTCCTCAGTTACGCATAAACCAACAAACACTATGAAAAAAAATGCAAAAAAAGAAGGATGTATGTTATCAATAAATATCAATGCATGTAAATAACTATTAATTCAAATTGTGAAACACCAAATTCATGGGTCAAAAGAATCCTCAAAAGTGACTTGGCATTTATAAAAGCAAAGCATTCAGTTTCACTAGTAATCAATGGACAATTTCTTCTTAGACCTAATCTATCAACCCATTGGAGATAGGTCAGTTAACAACATGGTTAGAGGTCAACAAAATAAGACAGTCAACTTAAATACACAAGGATAAGTGTATGTAATGAGATTTATGAAGACAACCAATAATAATAATAACCTAGGCCATTGTAACAAACTGATTTACGTCTTGTGGAGTATAATTAAAAAGCTTACTTCTGCATGAAGTGAGCAATCGAGACATTCTCCAGAACGATAATGAAAGCCTCACTATGAAACCATCTAGCACTGAGAATTCACTAACATAAAAAGTCCAAGCAATCTTTAGAATTGGGAATAATGTGAGCAACGTAGATAGAAAAGAAGGTGCACAAAGCCTTCTAAAGTAAAGTATGAATAATATAACTTGTAGTACAACCTTAACAACTAGGAAAGTGAGATTCAAAAAGGACATTGTAATAAGACAATTAAACGCTAGGAAATTCGTTAAATACTGTCACAAAAAACTTCTAAGATGTCTAGAATACAGACTCAGGAAAAATCACACATCATTAGTTGCTAAACAGTTGTGTATACACCCACAAACTACTGATTTCAATTTGAATAAACATACTATCTTGCTACCAGTAAAAAACAACATATACACAGAATTCATTAACTTACTATTCTCATCAAATAAAGTGAAAACCACATCTAAAACATGTGGTGACAAGTGAAGGTTGGCTACAGTTAAAGCAACATGATTTAAAGTATCTTGATCAATTGATGCACCAGCCATATGATAAAATGTTAAAGCTGTATCCACGTCAGCAATAGATCGAAGCAAATGACTGAAATCAGAAAAATCTTTATAAGTGATGCCCTAAATTGAAGAAAAAAGAGAAGGAAAAATTAAAATTTTCTCAATCAGCAAAAAGAATATTCTATTTGTAAGTTTGCCTGAACAGTAACTAAGAATAATTATAAAACAATCTTACAGAAAAAATGAATTGTTATATTAAGGGTTTATAAATTACCAACTGATATGAGATAAATGGATTATAGATATACTATGTAATGATTAGCCATGCATAATAAGAGAGACAGAATATTCTATCAATTTGCTTAGTACCAACTAGTAATGCATACTAGAAAAGTTATGGCAACAATCATTACATAAAACATTAGTAATCGATAAGTTATTACAATTTTAAATGTAAGTGTAAACATAATGTGGTAGATAAAGCAATATGAAGACAACAAAGACTCCATTTGAATGATTATTGTATGTATGTAGAATTATATAAATAGATGTTTAGATTGCGGGATATATATATATATATATAAACTGTGGTATGAATCAAATATTGAACTAATGAACCGTAAAAGAAACTATTTTTAGGCGAAATATAGGCATCAATAAAAATAAACGAAAGATTCAACAACATTGTTTCAACTTCAGGATTACAGAACACGAAGTAGTGCATTGTGAGTAGTGTTTTGTAAATGTATAGAGAGGGATGAAATAATAACACCTGACGTGTAGTAGCGCAAAGGTGACCAGCCAGACAGGCATGCAGCTTACTGATTACTGAATTTGATTTCCTTTCCTCTTATTGAGTTCTACTCAAGACTCACCGAGAATGACTGTTTGTAATTATGTGGAATAAAGTATTGCCTACCGTTACACTGGTTCTATACTGTGATTATCAGTTGGGTATCTGATATTAATGCAATCTAGTCTGTGTACAATGGATTCTTCAAGTACCCACTCTAGCGGTGCAATCTTAGTGTAGTATACCGAAAGTACAAAACTATTTAAATTTGCCCGTCATATCAGGTTCAAACTTGTCTATTACACATGATTCAACTAACAATCTTGGTGTTTGCATTTAACAGGAATTTATGACTTTCTTTCTTTTTTGGTTAGAGAAAACTTAGTCAAAAGTTATTGGGATAGCTCTTAGAGGCTCTAAAGGAGCTGGTAGAATTTCTAGAATATCGACATGGCATTCTGTGACTGGAAAGTTGTATAAACTTTCTGTTCGCGGATTAGGTGGATTCTAATAATGTTTTCAGTCTATAACAAAACTACAAATACACCCGATTTTCAGTACATTTTGACACTTTCTGTAGTGAAAGCTTCTCCTATTTTTTCTCCCTTTTGATTTGCAACTTCGGTGCTTTTTAGGTTCAAGTACCGAAGCTCTATGCCGTATCAGTCATAACAGAAAGATTTCAAAATGTATATAGTTTTATCATCAATCAACAAAAAAAGGATAGAAACAAAGACTTACACTAGACTGATCAGAATCTACTGGGAATTTCGTTTTTACTCGACGAATCATTTTACGTCTTTTATTTTCAGAAAATCCAGCATAGACAAGTAGAGAGTTGGCAAACTGAACTTCAGAAATTTTCCCATTCTTTGGTTCAGCTCTTTCAAACTGAAGTTTTGTTTTTAAATATGCATATATGTAAGCTTTCACATAAGAAAAACATAATCAAACAACTTAAATATATGAAAAAATTCCTTCTGAGTGATAAGATACTCGTCTTTATAAGCACTATTGAAATATCAGCTTTAAGGGAAATCGTTGTAGAAAATCTTTAAGGTTATTTTTTTCATAAAACAAAATCAGTCGACAAACTAGTGAAAAGGACAAACCGTTGTTAATTGCTAACCACAAGATTTGTCTTGGATTAGGCTGAGTATGTAGGGTAATGAGAATAAAGTGTTAGATTGGGCAGTGTTGGTAGGTTCAGACAAACAGGCTGTTAGGATATTCACCAAATATCCTACGAAGAATCCTTTTTTAAGTGTAAATTCTATTGGTCGATCCTTATTGGTCAATATTATGGTCGTCCTAGCTACCAATGCCACGTACTTTAATGTTGTTTCTTATTGGTCGTCCTAACTATCAATGTCACTTCATATGTTTTTTCCAATTGGTCAGCTTATCTTCTTCTGGACTCGGACCTCGTGCTTTCTGGATGCATGTAGAATACGGGTTCTACGTCATAACAAGTCCTCTTCTTTTATTCGATGGGGGTTGGGACAATCAAATTAGAGTAGCATGTCGTTTCTCTGGATCCTCGATCGTTTGAGTTTGAGAAAACGTCATACATTATTTATTCCATGAAATTATTGTTGTCGAATCATGTAGTCTATGCGGTCTTTTTGTACAACCACTGATACTACCAATCCCACTACTTTTGGATTTATCATGATAATAATGTATCACTGTGAGTAAATTGTAAGGCAACTTAAACCGATGTGCACATATCCCAGGTTAAAGAATTTATATGACTGACCAGCTGATTGTTATAGTGCTCTCTCTAAACACTGATGAGAAGAAATTTTTGACTGTTAAAATTGATGAACAGAATGACAATCAGTAGATAAATGGATACAATGATAGTTTGTTTGACCGAGTGACGACTACCCACAATATGGTATTATTGACTTAAATCCTTAAAAGATTTGACATCCGGGACAATAATATCACTAGGCAGAATACTAGATTTTCTCATGTCATAAAATTATCTTTGATGAACATATTAACTAGAAAAATAGCATGGTAAAATGTCACCGATGATTGGGGGAATATACGTTTGTACGTCAACCATTCTCCAATTAATTAAGATCCGACTGGTTAGGCTAAATTCTTGAACATCATTTCACTGATTGAAGCGATCAGTTACTACATAAATAACGTTTTCTTATCGTCAAAAAGTAGTTAATAAACGTACTTTAATGTTATATATATGGATTTTAGCAATATATATATATATATATATATATATATATATATATAACTAATCAAAAGCTAACCTCTAAACGCATAATCTCCTCTTGTAAATCAGAATGGAATTGAAGAAATTTACTGATTGGCAACTTTTGATCACCGTTTGGACCAAAGAAATAACTTTTGTCAAAGTACAACCTGTTGTTAAATTATCTCGATGACGACGACCCATTGCAGTTGTACCCATGATAACAGAACGTACCTGGAAAAGCAAAGGTCCAGTTATTGATCGGTTTATTTATCTTTACACAAATTAAGTTTTGTATTTACGTACGAATTCTATTATGCATTGAGCGAAAGTGAGAATCAAAAACCAAAATAAATGTAATTCTTAAAAGAATTTAAAAAGTTGAGGTGTACTAGGCAGTATGCCAGAAGGTAACGTATAATATTATTTTTAACGATAATGATTATTAAAGTTTCATTAAACTGGAAGGTTGTTGTCTAACGAAATCTCACCATAGACTGAAATACCTTGGTTGACCTTTCCTAACTAACCACTTTTTTAGCGTTGATGAGTGTTAGTCTACCAAGCAAAGTACCAGCATACTACTATGCTCTCTATTATTCTATAACTATGAAAGATGTTCTTCAAAAATAGAAGACAAGGGTGTGCTCCAGGCTCTTGATCATGACTGTTTTTGAAACGTCGGTCATTAAACAACTGAGTGAGCTATCCCGTGATTAGGCACAGGGTTCTATACAGAGATGTTAAACTGGTTGATGAGATTGTGAACATTCGTTATTTGTGGTGTTTGGAATATGTGTTTTACATACTTAACCATCATTTGCAACGACGGGCGATGTTTGCTGTGATAGACGTATTTCGGAAGAAAGTAAAAGGCAATCAAACCATGGAACGGAATCAGTCCATGGAGTCAGTGACTACTGGTTCAAATCATGTTGGTGGTTACAGATTACCCATTTGGGGTTTACTTGATAACTGTGATCAGTGATTGGGGACATTGGGTGACATGGCTTAAAATCAGCCACAATGACCAGAAATGAGAAAAACTAAAAAGCGTATATATATGAATATATATGCACAATATTAACTTACTACTTCAAATTCGTTTATGTCTAGCTCCCCATCCCCATTAATATCAAACATACGGAAAGCTATTTCAAATTGTCGGCGAGGTGCTTGAAGGAACAATAATTGTAGAAAAAATCAACTGTAATATAAAATATTATTTGTCAGTAAAGAACCATGTGTATAAGGGGAGATAAATAGGTACACAAGAAACTCAAAACACTCTAATGATGATTGTTAATCAGTAAAGCATTTTATTTGAAGGTATTAGATAATTATCTAGGAAAATAGCCCCAATGAGACCAAGTAGCGGGGGAGTGGACCTATTACCTGGAAAGACTTTTTGACCGTGAGCTCGCAAGTTATATTGTCTTTCTAGATGATGATACTCAAGCCATACAAACCGCACCAAATCATTTAACAATCAGTGTCCGCAGATATGGCATGAAGTTTTCGACTCCTAAATGTAAAGTAACTTTATAAAACTGACAAAAGCCTGTAATCATACTCACTCTCGACGGTGAGCAATTTGAAATAATCGAAAACTTTTTGTATCTGGATAGTTGCATAATTGATCAGATCAATCTATGCATAATGAAGACTGGAGGAGCCTATGCCAGCACCTTAACTATCTTTGGCTCCTTGATGATGTTAGTCGGGCGGTAAAAGCTCAGTTCTATAATACGTTGGCAAGAACAGTTTCGCCCTATGTTTGCGAAACCTAATCTTCCCGAGTTTAAAGTGTTATACGATTTCGTGATTAATCATCATTGTCTTCGGATTATCGCTGATATTCAGTAGCACCATCCCGTTAGCAATGCTTAGGTTTGGCAAGGTGTGTACGGGAACCATCATGATAACTCGATTGGTGTCAGTACACTGAAACACAAGCTTCAGTGGCTTAGACATGTTCCACATCGTACACTAACTGCTAACACTGGGATTAGGTTATAGGAAACGGAGAGATGGTCAGTTTATGACATGAGAGTGTGACAGCAAGGGCCCGGGGGACGGCACAACTCAATCGCTTGAGACGTTATCAGGCATAGCTCAGGGAAGAAGCTAATGGTGATTCTAGGGTAATTTTCTTTTATAATTTTCATAAATGTGAGAAATACTTCTTTAGCTGAAAGAATTCCCAGTTATCTCATTTCCAATGTTAACTGAACTGTCTCTCCTACTTTATGCTATTCTTGTCGATTATTTAATTGAATTTTTTTCTTTCACTCCAAATATACTCCCTTTCTCTCATAGTATTTTCTGTATTCCATGTTTTGTATTGTATTTTATAATGCCCAGTTGTACCAGATTCGTTGTCCTTAAATCAATAAATAAGTAGGGTGAGGTATTACAGATGCTAATAAGAAAAATCCACTAATTACTGATACATAATAACTGAGAGGTTCTTGCTTTACTTCATCATTGGACTATATGTTTGTTAGCTGTCTGTAAAAGCTGAAATAACTATTACATGAACGCAATCTTGTGTGTAGTAAGTTAACATCTATAACATTTTCGCTCTCATGGTAGTTTAGAAAACTAGACGCTACAAAACTTACACTGCCTGCACTTCCTACCTACGATAATGTCTAATTATCTGAGAAATAAATAATAGCTTTGCTAAAATGTTTTTACGCTTTTGTGGAGCGACAAATAAATTGACTATGTAATCAGTTTTATAATACTTGTTCCGATCAACTAGTAGCTACAATCGACTTACGGGAGTTTGTTGGTTTTATGAGTAATTGTGGCGTTGAAAACACATATCTTAAGACAAAGAACAATTATAAATTTCGCTAAAATTATACGATTAACAAACAGCATATTATTGATTTAAATCATTGAAATTTTTAAAACATGATCTATACTAGTTGCATATCTAATTAATTTGGCTGAAAGATTTTATTTGCACATTGTCGGAGGAGACTTGAAATAACACCGGAACTTGGTTTCAACTAAGTTCTAGACGCATTTAGAATTAGAATAATTTGCTTTTGCATGGCTGTCGCACAGTAATAATTGGTGAATATTAATTGATTACTGCAATCCTGTTTACATAAAGAAGGACTACTATAATATCAAAAATAGATATATGTATGTATAAAGTTTGTTTTCTGCAGACATAATAACATTTAATTTGTCAAATTTATTCCTATCTCAAAAAGGATGAAAAATAAACAAGTAGATAGGAAAATTAATTTCTAACATTTAAACAATCACAAAACTTACTTGAAAGTACAGTTAATAGAAATATGAAATCAGTGAATGTGATTAAAGCTTGATCGCAAAGCTTATAAAATACTGATTCTTTAGGTATACCCAAATTTAATTTTTCACTCTGTCAATAAAAAAAAACCAGACAAGAAAATGATAGACAGAATTAAGTGTTACCTATTGAACATTTAAACCATAATTTACACTACTAACATGAATCAAATAGATTCACAAGTGTACAGTTTATTATCACACATCAAGCTTACTTTAGTCTAACTATAAACATTGAGTTGTGCTCCCGCAATTGAAGTTGGTCTACTTATCTTTTCCACTTTGCTTTGCTTTTACGCTTCTCATTCTTATCAGTCTGCAAACGTGAGCGTACGAAATAAGTTCAAACAAATAAGATAGTATTGAGCTTTAAATTAACGTCGTCGCACAAAAGGAGCTCACCTAACAATAACTAATCCTTCGTCCGAAAATGGAATAAGATCCCGGGTCACTAAAACTATCTAATTGCACAAACACACTTGACTAGGCACTAAATCACACACAATCTACATTAGGAACAGGTATTTCTTGAAATCTAACATATTCTTTGTTTGGTTAAACATGAGATATTTTTAATGATGAAAAAAATCTAACGAACAAAATTTTGTTAATTTTTACATGGTTAATCACATGCACTGCACTTTTAACTTCAAGCAACATTAAAAGAAGCGCTATGCAATTTGTGAATGGTTTACTTAAAATCGTCAGTACAGTAAACTTTGCCGAGACTTTAATACTCGTATTTGTATAGATAATGAAATATATTTTTATATTACCACTGATATGATCTAAGGTGAGGAGTCTGTAGCATTTTAAGTACTTTAAACATTCAATAAAGGCAAAATATGCATTTTTCCTCAGTTGTTTACAACCTCAATCCAATTAGAGGATAGATACATGAGATTAGTTACTTATGCCTCTTACTTCTGATGGAGCATAGGCCATCGACCGTCATTCTTCTAACTATTCTGTTCTATCCTTTCATGTCTTAGCATATGATGTGCTTTGGTCTAAATTTTATCCTTTGACCTTGAGGACTCCAAGTGACGGTGCATCGCGATGCAGTTGAGTGGTTTCTCCAATGTGTGTTCTATCAACCTGCAGCGCTTTTTCATAATTTCTTCCTCAGATGGAATCTGAATTATTACCTCTAACAGTAGGCTCTTGCTGATGGTGTCTGGTCAACGGATCCTTAGTATATTGTGTAGGCAAACTCTATGCGTGGCACAAATCCATGAACTAACTGAGCCGTGTTGGTATGTATATGCTCAGAGAACAGACAATGGCGACCGTCTGTTGCAACTATGCTCAGATAACCGCCTAGTCCTAGCAAACACTAACTTTAGGCATAAGGATTAACATCTTTTGACCTGAGAACCTGCGAAGTCGTCTCAACATTAAGAAAACTAGATCACATCGCCGTCAGTCACCGATAGACAGGTTCGATAGAGTACTGACGCTCGTTCTAGGGCACACGTTTAGATTCAGATCATGCTGTTGTGCGAGCGGGTATTTGTTTGAGGATTACTCGACCTAGGAAAGATACCGTAGGAAGCCTCCTACGGTTACCCTGAATGATAATCAAACTAAGAAAATATTTCAGAAGCAACTAGAAACAGAGTTAAGCAACCATGTAAGCGATCCCCATCCAGAAGCAGGTTGGAATGATATTAAAAAGGCTGTGGAAACGACAGTGATATCTTCTTGTAAGGTAAACCATAAGGCTAGGATGAAGCCGTGGATCTCAATAGCATCTACCGAACTGATGGATGCTCGAAAACTCATCCCGCCTTGCTCTGAGGGTAATGAGGAGCGGAGTCAGCTTAGACGTAGGCTGACAAAAAGCCTACGCAATGATCGAGAACAGTGGCGGGTGCAGAAAGCGAGAGAAATGGAAAAGGCAGCGGTGATAGGCAACAGTAGACAACTTTTCCGACTTATCAAGGAAACTGGTATTAGGAACCAAAATGTGAGTGAGACTATATCGGAAAAGGATAGGACTATTATTTATTCTCAATCCAGGAGACTGGATCGATGGGCAGAACACTTTAGGGATCAGTTCAAATGACCTCGAGCCACATTTCGATTACGCACGATCTCCAGGCATCCCGAATGGCGAATCGATGCAAGTCCCCCTAGTCTTTATGAAGTTGAGGAAGCGTTAGGAAACCTGAAGCGAGAGCGAGCTGCAGGTCCTGATAGACTGACCCCTGAGACATTTAAGGATGGTGGTCCAGTTTTAGCAGCCAGGTTGACTGAGATCTTAGGTAGAATTCGGGAACTGGACACAATTCCATCCGACTAGTCTCAATCCCTGATTATCCCAATCTATAAGAAAGCACAAAAGTCTTCTTGTGACAATCACAGGGGAATCAGTCTAGCTAATATAGTTTCTAAATTGTTAGCCTCGATTATACTTAGACGCCCGACTAGTGATCGTGAAGAGCACACTAGAGAAAACCAGGCTGCTTTCAGACCTGGACGTGGTTGTATAGACCACATCTTCACACTAAGACAGGTCCTGGAACACAGACACACACTTAGGCGTCCTACAATAGTTGTCTTCCTGGACCTAAAAGCGGCATTTGACTCAGTGGATCGTGAGGTTCTATGGCAGTGTCTGTTATTGAAAGGTGTACCAAAGAAGTACATTAACCTTATACAAGCTCTCTACTCTAAAACTACTGGTCGGGTGAGAGCTTATGGCGAACTGTCATTGGAATTCTTTACTTCAAGTGGTGTCTGTCAGGGATGTCCACTCTCTCCGTTCTTTTACCAGGAGGCTCGCTTATCAACTGAGAATATGCCGATAACATTGTCCTACCTGGTGAAGACGCTGACAAAATGCAGAGTCTTCTGACTACCCTAAGCAACAATGCAAGCATGTTCGGGATGCGGTTTTCCCCCTCGAAATGCAAAATGTTGCTCCAAGATTGGGTTTCATCGGCACCTGAACTAGTGATAGGGAGTGAAGTAGTCGTAGGTTACTAGTCTTCGACCATCGATGTCTCCAAAGCATTGCTCGTGTATCTTGGGACAACCGTATACGCAATGCTGTTATTAGGAAACGAGTTCTAGGTAGGGATAGCAAATCAACAGATGAAGTATTGAAACTTCATCAGTTGAGGTGGTTGGGACATGTGTTACGAATGCCCAAGCAACGACTGCCTCGACGAGCTATGTTTTGTGGTGTAAGAGTAAGTTGAAAGTTAGAGAACACAAAGAGTGGATGCACCTGCGCCATTGAAAACGATTTTAAGTTATGTCACTCAACGTCTCTGAGCATCGGTTGCTATCATCTCGCGGACCCCGACCAGGTAGTTCGCATATACCAACACAGACAGACAGATACAACGCAGAACTTCGTACATAAGTACATCAGTTCAGGTTGCCATACCACATTAGCACAGAGACGCAACTGTCAATTCAAATCCAAGAGTGCTAGCAATAATTGAAGTATTAGCAGTAATGGAGAAGATTAGGGAGCTAAGATATTATTCGAAAAGTATAAGTCAGTAAGATAAATTTAGAAGGAGAAAGGTAGAGATTATGAGGAATTCAGAAGGTTAGAATTAAAAAGCACACAAAGAATGGATGCACCTGTGCCACTGCAAACGATTCTGAGCTATGTCGTTCAAGGTCTCTAACCATTGGTGACTTTCGTCTCGTGGACCCGAACCAGACAACCTACATCTACCAACATGACTCAGTCCACTTGCCAGTGATTTCATGGATTTGTGCCATGTATTGGTTTGGCTGACCCTAACTTTCAACTTACTCTTACACCACAAAACATAGCTCGTCGAGGCAGTCGTTGCTTGGGCATTCGTAACACATGTCCCAACCACCTCAACTGATGAAGTTTCAATACTTCATCTGTTGATTTGCTATCCCTACCTAGAACTCGTTTCCTAATAACAGCATTGCGTATACGGTTGTCCCAAGATACACGAGCAATGCTTCCGTACACTCGTCCTTTGGTTAGCAAGTTAATACTTCTAGTGCATCTCCCATTATGGGATTTGAATTGATAATTGCATCTTTGTGCTAATGTGGTATGGCAACTTGAAGTGATGTACGTACGTATGAAGTTCAACGTTGTAGCTGACTGACTGACTGAAGACCGGTGAGGTTTCTAAGATTAGCGACTACTCACTTCCCTGAGGTTGTATGGGTACTTAAACTCAAAATCAAACCATACATCCTTCAACAAGGATGAGGTAACTAAAACAATTTGGTCAATCATTCACGAATATAAGACACGTTAAACTAGCGATCGGTAAGTTATGCCATTCTAGATTTCAGATAGCTTTTCATTGAACATAATCACTTTTAGAGTAATCTGCAGAAATACAGTTTGTAAACATATTATATATATAAACTTTTTAGTCAATAACAAAGGACTAACCTTGTTATGGAACCAGACTAATCCAGTCTATATGCCAAAAGAAAAGAATGTAAGCAAATGAGTTAATGTACAAAGTGTAATTGTATATTATATACATAAAATAATAAAATTGAATTACTTAAACGTCACATTTAACCTAGAATTTAAAGGGAAATTTCTAATGTAAGAACTTGAAGTGCGAAATAAGCTGCTATTATTGTTGCGAGTGAAAAAATGAGACATTTTAAGTAGATTGGATAAAGTATTGCCCTTAGGTAACGTGTAATAAATATTTATTGAGTAAATAATTACTCACAGAAAAAAATCATATACATATAATACGCTTCTTTTACGTAGACAAACGTCTAATCAAGAAAAGCGAAGTGTGGGACTTGAAACGTTTTTATAATGCAAACATAACAATCAATCAATAGCAACGTAGAACTTCGTACGTTCGTACATCAGTTCATGTTGCCATAGCACATCAGCACACAGATGTAATTGCCAATTCAAATCCAATAGTAGTAGAGGTTTTAGCAGTAGTCGGAGAGGTTAAAATTAGAAGATATTAGTCAAGAAGTAGAATCTAGTGAAACAGACCTAAAAAGATAAAAATAAAGTGATGAAGAATTGAAAAGTTTAGGGTTTTAGAGAACACAAAGAATGAATCACCTGCGCAATTGCAAACGGTTTTGAGCCATGTCATTCAGGGTCTCAAAACATCGATTACTAACATCTCGCGGACCCAAACCAGGTAGTCGACAACTACCGACATGGCTAAGTCCACTCGTCAATGACTTCATAGATTTGTGCCATGTTTTGGTCTTGCCGTTCCTAGCTTTCTTCAAACCAATTCAAGCCATTACTAGAAATTATTTCCCTGTTGACATTCAGGACTAAATTTCGATCATTTTCGGTTAGCATAAATGCATCATAAGCGTATTGTCTCCTAAAAATAGCCATTTGGTTGTAAGTTTTTTAGAATAGATGGACTGTGGTTAAACGTTGGACCCCCAAGAGGGTGGATTTTGTCCCACTTGAGACTCCTACTTAGAACACACGTACATCCAATCGACAAGTCATAAATAGAACCAGTTTCATGATCTGGATCCTACTGCAGACCACAATCCATCTATTCTAAGAAGGAATGTGCTTTCAATACTAGCTAGTATTCAGAAGTTCCAAAACGGGCTACTAATCTGTGATAAATACTGTTTTAATTTAACTTTTAATGAACCTTTAGATTTTATTGTTTGCAATTACATTTTATCATTATTTCGAAATTAAAAATATTCAGCTGACAGAGGCTTCTTCAAATAATGATACTTTGGGAACTAGTTCAGGAAATACTGTGAAATTGGCTACTACTGATTCAAAGCCAAATGTTCGTCAAGCTGTATTGGATTATATCAATCCAAAAACTTCTAATTCTGGTTTAGATTTGTTGAAAAATCGTCATAAAGAATACAAAGTGAGTTTCTACTTTTTTTTCTTCTTCTCCTTCAAACAATCATTAAGTTATTCTTTTTGTAGAGTATATTAGGCTTTTGTAAGGTAGGTGGTTGGGTTGCTTTGAACATTTCCTATTCAAATAAATGGTTTGATTATAATGGTTTTGGGTGTCAATAGTTTTTATGTTTATACGATAGAAAATATAAATTTGATATCTATTCCAATGATTTACATTGCTCTGTAGAATAAAATGAATTTACCGCCCCTAGCTTTCGTCCCACCTATCCCTAAACCGCAGAATATAGCTAGACGAGGCAGTTGGTGGTTAGACATAGGTAACACATGTCTCAGCCACCTCAACTGATGAAGTTTCACTACTTCAACTCTTATTCTGCCATCCCTATCTAGCAACAGTCTCCTAATACCAGCGTTGCTCAATCGGGTGTCCCAGGATATACGAGCAATGCTTCGAAGACACCGATGAAAAACCAGCGAACGGATATCTCGCCTACGCCATAAGTGACGCAGGTTGGCAAAAGCCAATCGAGCCTTCTCTATCCGAGCTGAGATTTCGTCCGTCACGTTCGACTACTTCACTCCCTATCACTAGTTCAGGTGCCGATGAAACCCAGTCTTGAAGCAACATTTTGCATTTCGAGGGGGAAAACCGCATCCCGAACATGCTTGCATTGTTGCTTAGGGTAGTCAGAAGACTCTGCATTTTGTCAGCGTCTTCACCAGGTAGGACAATGTTATCGGCATATTCTCAGTTGATAAGCGAGCCTCCTGGTAAAAGGTCTACTCCAGAAAATTCAGACGAGGATAAGGTTATCTCTAGGAGCATGTCTATGATAAAATTAAACAAGAATGGAGAGAGTGGACATCCCTGACAGACATCACTTGAAGTAAAGAATTCCAATGACAGTTCGCCATAAGCTCTCACCCGACCAGTAGTTTTAGAGTAGAGAGCTTGTATAAGGTTAATGTACTTCTTTGGTACACCTTTCAATAACAGACACTGCCATAGAACCTCACGATCCACTGAGTCAAATGCCGCTTTTAGATCCAGGAAGACAACTATTGTAGGACGCCTAAGTGTGTGTCTGTGTTCCAGGACCTGTCTTAGTGTGAAGATGTGGTCTATACAACCACGTCCAGGTCTGAAAGCAGCCTGGTTTTCTCTAGTGTGCTCTTCACGATCACTAGTCGGGCGTCTAAGTATAATCGAGGCTAACAATTTAGAAACTATATTAGCTAGACTGATTCCCCTGTGATTGTCACAAGAAGACTTTTGTGCTTTCTTATAGATTGGGATAATCAGGGATTGAGACTAGTCGGATGGAATTGTGTCCAGTTCCCGAATTCTACCTAAGATCTCAGTCAACCTGGCTGCTAAAACTGGACCACCATCCTTAAATGTCTCAGGGGTCAGTCTATCAGGACCTGCAGCTCGCTCTCGCTTCAGGTTTCCTAACGCTTCCTCAACTTCATAAAGACTAGGGGGACTTGCATCGATTCGCCATTCGGGATGCCTGGAGATCGTGCGTAATCGAAATGTGGCTCGAGGTCATTTGAACTGATCCCTAAAGTGTTCTGCCCATCGATCCAGTCTCCTGGATTGAGAATAAATAATAGTCCTATCCTTTTCCGATATAGTCTCACTCACATTTTGGTTCCTAATACCAGTTTCCTTGATAAGTCGGAAAAGTTGTCTACTGTTGCCTATCACCGCTGCCTTTTCCATTTCTCTCGCTTTCTGCACCCGCCACTGTTCTCGATCATTGCGTAGGCTTTTTGTCAGCCTACGTCTAAGCTGACTCCGCTCCTCATCGCCCTCAGAGCCAGGCGGGATGAGTTTTCGAGCATCCATCAGTTCGGTAGATGCTATTGAGATCCTTATGGTTTACCTTACAAGAAGATATCACTGTCGTTTCCACAGCCTTTTTAATATCATTCCAACCTGCTTCTGGATGGGGATCGCTTACATGGTTGCTTAACTCTGTTTCTAGTTGCTTCTGAAATATTTTCTTAGTCTGATTATCATTAAGTAAAACCCTAAGAGGTGGAAAAAAGTTATATTTCGAAAGAAAACTTCGCACTTTGCAGTACGTGTGGATGAAAACTTTTAGAGTAGTAACACATAGATAATTGATAATTTTATGACTAACCTTTGGATCATATCGTTTGAACGAATCCAGATCTAAACCATCAGGCTGTTTAATACCCGGAGTAATTGAACGAAGGAAGTCTTCAGGAGTCATATAAATTGTTTCGCTGTCTTCTTCTATGCTCTTTAGGGTCGCGAAATAACGAAAGATCTTGTCCGGTGTAGAGTAGGCTCGAATTCGGTTTTCATATGCAATGAACTAGTATTTTACAAGCAATGTTAGTTATGAGTAATAATGTAGAAAAGGACGATTTATTGTACTGCTTACAACAAAATATGATGTGGAAAACTAGTCATGAACTACTATCTTGACCCTTAGTAGGCTGTTCCAATTGAGCGAAAAGTAATACGCATATATTTGCCTCAATAATGAACTGGCAAGTCAAATATGAAGTTGTACATAACATAATAATGAGGATTTAAGATATCAGGTTTTTTCGTATTTAACAAGTATCCTGGATTAATTAGTGATGTAACTCATTTACTAAATACATGCTTATATATCCATTTTAGGTAATACTGTTTAAGTGAAGTTTAATTATAAAAAATAGGACCACAGCATCAAGGCAAGGTAACGATAAATGCCAAAGTAATAGATGTAATACTAATGACAGTAAAAAGGGATTATTAGTAATGAATTTTATTCCAAAAGACAGGAGTCCGTTGAATAAAAGTTTGATATGATATTGATACTTATGACCTAGGGATGTAATAGACGCG